TTATCAACTCTCGAGTTAGTTGGTGGATGAGTATGAGTTGTATAATTTAGGTTAGCTATCGTCTCATTCATTGTAGCAATGTCAACCTCTTTATTCCCAACTCCAAAATATAACGTACCATAAAACTTCATCTTATGTGAGTCCTTACGTTCTTAATAAGACATTTCTTGGAAAGAACAAATCAAGTTACCCATTACAATAAATCTAACGTACAAATGGAATTAATTAGTCAAATAATGAAAAGAATCAAGAATTTGAAATAGTATTTGGGACAAGAATTTCAAAAGAAATTATACAAGATATATAAAGTACAAACAAATATTAAAAAAACTATTAAGAAAAATCTCTATAAGACTCAACAAAAAGAACACAGAAAGGATCCCAAAGTAAACAATAACATAGTGAATTCCCCGAAACTAGCAAGAGATTCGAGTTGTTGGGCTTCTTTTTATCAACGGTCAAATTTTAGAGGATGTTTTTGTTAGACAATAATGTTTCTTTGATTGCTTGGATGCTTTCCATTGATATAAGAGAGTTTTTTTATACAAGAGTTAGCTTGACTATTAAGTTTACCCTAGATATAAATTCATTTCTGATTCATGAAGTTCTATATATTTATTCATGAATCTTTTTATGGCAATGAGGATTTAGTGAATTCATTTTGGGAGGGGTGTTTTCAAGATGACCATGTTAATTTTTTCTTTGTATCAATCTTATGTGTACTTAGCATTATTAATGTGAGGGTTTTTTCTCAATAAATTGGGGAGGGTTAGCATTATTAATGTGAGGGTTCTTTCTCAATAAATTGGGGAGGGTTCAGTGCATGTATATGTAATCAATTGGAAGAGAATATTTACAATGAAAAGAGCTATATGGCTAAGTGTTGAATGCATATGACTTAATAAGATGAAAAGATAATTAACTTATGCTATCAAAACAAATGGATGGATCATTTCATGGAAAATGTCTAGTCTTAATTCATAAACAAATGGGCCACCAGGTTTGTCAAACTAGGCAATCAAACCTTGGCATAGACTAGAGGGACTAATAGCCCTTGGTTTTACTACTAGAAGAACTTAGTCATTAAGCACATACATAGTTTATAACATACTAGGTGGCGATGCCGCGCCTTGTCGCGAGGTGGAGATGGCCTATGAACATGTATTATATGACCCGTTATGTTGTTTTGTTAGTATTATTAGTCTAAAATTAATTTTTCGTTAGCAGTTTGTTAGTAATATTGACTTGAAAATATGATATTATGCGAGAAGAGATATATGATGGTTAACATCCCATTTAAAATTTTTGAATTTTTTTGTTGATATATGATATTTACCTAAACCCATATTGACCCATTAATTATTGGTAGGGTATGAGTGACTTATATATGGGTTTGGAAGTTTGTAGATGGGTTTGGGTAGGGTATGGATATTTAATTTCATAATCTAAATGTGTATGAGTTGGGTATAGATACCCATTTATTTGAGGGTGTTTTAATTACACATACAAAAATTAGACCTATTTGTATAACTTCAAAAGTTCAAGTACTAAAATGTAATACAAAAAAAATTTAGGTACTAAAATATAATGTTCCATCAATATTTTGGGAAAAAATCCCAAGTTACACATGTTTTTAAAAAAATTCTCAAAATACACATGTTATGAAAAAAATTCCCAATCTACGCATGTTTGGGCCTTCACCGCGTTAGAGAAGGGCGGTGATTGCTTCACCGCGTGAGAGCAAGGTGGTGATTGCTTCATCGCGTCAGTCTAAGGCGATGATTGTATCACCGCTGTAGAGGAAGGCGACGATGCAATCACCGCTGTAGAGAAAGGCGGTGAAGCACTGACCTACGTCAAAACTTTAAAAAAACATAACTTTGTGCTCGGTTATGCGGAATAAAAAAAATTTCGCTACGATCGGATAACCGAGCACAAAGTTACGTTTGTTTAAAGTTTCGACGCAGTTCAGGCCTTCACCGCGGCCATGTACAGCGGTGATGCAATCACCGTCTTCATCTACAGCGGTGATGCAATCACCGCCTTCCTCTGCCGCGGTGATGCAATCACCGCCCTTCTCTGCCGCGGTGAATACCCAAACATGCGTAGATTGTGAATTATTTTCATAACGTGTGTATTTTTAGATTTTTTTTTTAAAACATGTGTAACTTGGGATTTTTTCCCAATATTTTGAGGACTTATATGCCAAAAAAATTAGGTTATAAATGTAACGATTTATTAAGTTTAGGTACCCAACTATAATTTGCATAGTTGAGACTTAATTCCTTTTATGGTGATGTATTTAATACTATAATTATTTACTATTTATTTGATATGTATAATTGTTGAAATCCCATGTATAATTGTTGAAAATTCTAGCTCGGGTTAAAGACAAAAACTCTAGAGAGAAGCAAAAGGAATACAAACTGGAACTCGCTTAAAATTTCATGTCTTCGAATCCCGTAGTGCAAAATGACGACTTTCTAATAAGTAATAACCCTATATATTTGTTCTTAATTGGACTCGACATTGAGCTGAAAAAGTTAGTGGCTCATGGTTCAATTATTAATTCTCTAGATTGTTGGTCAGTCGTGTATGAACCCGGGTTCATACTTATGATTAGTATACATAAAAATAGTATACTAATTAGGGTTAGACGAAGAAGGTAAAGGAAAAAAAAAGGGTTATGGAAGGCAAGTGAAAAATGAAACGAAGAGGAAGTAGATGGTGGAAAGGTTTTGACCAATTCTTTTAGTTTGTCGTCAATCAATACAAGAGTCAACCCTTTTCGCCGTAGCAATTTATTGACACTTGCTTAGGTAAATGTCGTTTTGTCACATGTAGTTAGTAAAAGTTTGTTTAGTACCCCATAAATGTACTAAATGAGTTTATAAATTCGCTCTTGCAATATTTTAGAATCATCTCTCTTTTATTATCTTTTTAATGTTTCACGTCATGAGAAAATATAAAATGGTTGAATCTCTTCCTATAGTTAAGTGATAAAACATCTTGTATGATACAAACTAAATTTATACTTTTATGTTATGGTGGATTGGATTCATGGTTTGGTTCAAAAGGATTGGTGGATTGGAATCATGGATTCAAGTGAAATATAAACATTGAACCAATATGTAAATATAAAAATTGTAGGTATGAAAATCTCATAAAACTTAGATACCAAAACATAATTGTTCAATAATTTTACACTAAAATTAAATTTGGGGTATCAACATGTAAAATGTACACTATAGTGACTAAGTTATAATTTAATAAAATTTGAGGTAGCAGTGACTATTAACAATGTGATAAGAATATATTGAATTCCACTCGATGATTATTGTCTACCGCGTGTGTGTTATATTATCGATCTTATTCATAATAAGAGTGGGAATTGTATTGGCAAAAGATTCCAAATTGGCTTGAGAATGTTTATACTCCTACCATGACTTGGAAATTGGGATCCTTATAAGAGAATTGTAAAACACATCTGGTACACATATTCCTTATTCCTTATTAGAGAAGAAATTCTATTGGACTAGAAATTTCTCAATTACTATCATTGAATTTGAATTACATACATAAATGAACAAAAAGAAAGTGAATCAACATTTTGTTGTATCATGGATCAAAATTTTAATAATATTTTGATGGTTCGTCTAGATTCTAGGAGTAATTACTAATTTCACAACAAAACAAACTCTATAGACTCATTGTTCAAAATTGTTAATATGAGGGTCGTCTTTGTTAAAACCCATAATATAAGGGATCCGAAGAATAATAAACAACCTATTCCAAAAGAATAGGTTGTCAACCCGCGGGTCGACCCACTTTAACTCTGACCCGGTGAGAAAAACGGGCCGCACGTACCCGCCGGGTCGACCGCTACAAGGTATCGGGTTGGAGGTCAAATTGTGTCATTTTTTTCTTTGATTTGCAAAATGCGCCTATTTTTCGATTTTTCTTTTCGCCTAACTCTATCTTTGGAATCCTAAGTTAAACATTTGAATATATATGTTGTATATAAGTGTGTGTAAATTTTCAATATATGTTGGATCTAAGTACGACATGTTATTTTGGTGGAATATTATATGTTATAACTCATATGTTAGATGAGATTTGATATAATTTATCAGGATAAGTACAATATAATGACTATTTACATATTTTTCGGGCTAAACCGGGCTAAATCGGATCACCCATCAACTCTTGACCCATTAGCTCCACCGGATCTGGGTCAACCAGCGGGTTGACAACCTTAAGATATTCGAAGAGAAGAGAGAGAGAGAGAGGAGGTTGCTTCGCTTATCGTTTTGCTTTTGCCGACTCCGAGTTTCGAAACTCGCCACTGATCCGACAGCGCGCTCGCAGCATTCTGAAGAGAGGACTTCCGGCGGCGTCTCCTCGTCGAAACCTTGTCGGCGCTCTTTCTTTGTCTTACTAGCCGCCTGTGCTCCCAGTTTTGCCCATCCCAACTTCATCGCCTGCCGCTCCAAGGTAAAAGTTTCCTATCTTCCCATTGCCTTCCGCGGCTTCACTTCCTCTCCCGTTCTTCTGCAGCTTCACCTTCGCCGCTTCTTCGGGGTTTTCCGTTCGTTGTTCTTATGGCGGGGGCACCTTCTCATTCTTGCATTCATTTATTTACTCAATCCTTTTTGCTCATTCTTCCGCTTTGTTTAGAATTGGGAAATCAGTTCCTTCCATTCTGAATTGAATGTTTTGATATAGAAGATTGCGCCGGTGGTGTGCTTGGATACCGACGAGGATTGAGTTAATAAGTACTTAGGGGGTTTGTTTTACGCCGATTGTTTCTGGGCATGTCCAGCCGTTAAAGCTCTCTCCCCCGCGCTTGAATAAAACCTTTGGGGTATGGAATTCGCTGATGTCCCTTCTTCTCATCTTGTCTTTGCATGTTTGGGTTGTGATGAATTAATGAAATAGTTATGCATTTACCATTCTAAGAGAGCTGTGCCTTCGGCTTTGATTTTTTGTATTCCAGGGCAATGCCTCGTAAAGTTAACCGCGGAGTTGATTACGATGAAGCCTATGATAGTTATGATGATTATGACTATGAAGATGACAATGATTGTAGCGTAGATAGCCCTGGTGAGTCCGATTCTCTATTTCCATGTAGGAGCTTTATCAATTCCAAATTTGAAGGTGGAGCTTGTGAGTTATTATCTGGCATGCTACATTGGATGGTACATTCTTGATGGAACTTCTCAAACAAAGCTTGTTAAGTAGTTGTACCCAGGTCACATTTGTTGCAACAAGTTTATTCAAAACTCGGGTCGGGTGTTCTTCCTCCATTGGTGCCTGTTACTCTCTTGGTGTACTCATTCTTCTCTTTAGCATCTTTTAGCGAACATAGTTATAGAAGTCTCCCTGTGGTTGAGATGGAAATAAATGGTATTGAGAATCGAGGGATTAAGTGAGAATACAGACAAGAGAGTATGTTTTGTGTCTGGTACACTGATAAGGTATAGAAAGAACCTTTTCATTACCTTTTTGGAAGTGTAACATTCAAGGTATGCATAGGTGCACTGTGATCAAAGGTTACCTATATGCGATAATTTCCTCTCTTTCTCAACAAATTTATGTCTTATGGTCTCAAAATCGCACTATTATCACCTTTAAATGGGTTGCACATCAGGGTTATTTGTAGGTTAGTTTTTATCCAATAGGGGTAGCATGGTAGGTATTCTACACTTCCAATCAGGGATCAATCTAAGGATCTAAGGAAGGCTGCTGGAATAAACTGTCGCGCTAAACCCTAGGACCCCGCCTATGTCGTTTTCCTTTCACTATATTAGAAAGTGAACACCTCCTGTTGCTAATCAAACCAATACAAAAGAAGTTTGTTGTAAAAGCAAAAATTCTGAATGTTTGTTTCTGGTTTAAAATTATACTTTGGTTGTCTGGCTGCCGCTGTACAAATGTTATAATCTAACTATTCGACTTTGTATTAATGATAGCAAAAGTTGAAGAGCCTCAGCAAAAAGTTAAAAAGCTTTGGAGTTGCTCTATTTGTACATATGACAACGAGGAGGGCATGTCTGTATGTGATATTTGTGGTGTTATTCGCAACCCCGTGGCTGGTGATTTCAAGAACAGCAATAAGAAAACAGGTTTGAGTCTTCCACGGTTCCACCCCCCCCCCCCCCCCCCCCCCCCTCCCCACATTTTCTGTCTTAGTGTTTTGAATTCTCATCTCTATGTCTCTCTTGAATGTGAAAACCAAGCTGACTAATATTTTTGACATTTTGGGTTTAATATGCATTATTGTTGCTATAACTATGTTTTACTGTTATGGAACTCATCTTCCCTTATTTAACTTGATGTTGTCATTATTAAACCAACTCCAGTTTGAAACAATCAAGAAAAAACAAAAGACTGCAAACAGTCAATTTCTTTTGAAAGCTGAAAGCCCATATCTTGTGTGTTTTTGGCATTAAGCGATATGCCAAAACTTGGTTTGCTAACTTTGATATTTAGGAATCCTTTCGAGTGGATCATACCATCATAGATTAGATGTGTTTGTTGCAGCTGACAGTGAGGGCAAATGCTCTGGAGTATCATTGTTGGCAAAGTCTCTTTTTGGATCATTGCCACATCAGACATCCCAGAAGGCCGTGGTTGGTCAGCTGCAGAAGAATGATTTTGTGATGGAAAGTAGGAATGACTTTCACAAATGTGGAAGTTCCCAAGGAAATTTCCTTGCTTTCCATAGTGCTTGTAGTTCCTATAGCCATTCTCATGTTAATATAGGTCTGAACTGTTCTAGAGCAATGAGTGTTGCCTTTATTTTGCCTGGGAATCATTTAAGCTCAGCAGTTATTTGTATGTGATGGCTAGTTCGGAGCTGACCTGTCAACCTGTTATTATCGCCATCTAACCTCCTTGGTATTGACCATGCAGCTGCTTTCAAGTTCGATGCTCCATCTCCTGATGACATGGTTTCAACTAGATTACAGTCCTCAAAACTTAATACACAAGGTATGCTTTTTTTGTTTTTTTGTTTTTTTTGTATTGATTGCAGTCTGTTGCCTGGATTTTAACCATTCAGTGTCTGCTTGGGTCATCTATAGAGCAATGAGTGTTGCCTTTATTTTGCCTGGGAATCATTTAAGCTCAGCAGTTATTTGTGTGAGATGGCTAGTTCGGAGTTGACCTGTCAACCTGTTATTATCGCCATCTAACCTCCTTGGCATTGAGCATGCAGCTGCTTTCAAGTTCGATGCTCCATCTCCTGATGACATGGTTTCAACTAGATTACAGTCCTCGAAACTTAATACACAAGGTATGTTTTTATTTTATTTTTGTATTGATTGCAGTCTGTTGCCTGGATTTTAATCATTCAGTGTCTGCTTGGGATATCTAATATACATGACATCTTAATAGCAGGAGAATCTTTAGTCGAGCATGATAATCTTCGGTATCAGATATCTCTTGGAAATAGTTGGTGCTGTTACTTGAACCCTCTCCAGCTGGTCTTGGATTCTCAAAACACCATTTTCGTCTTGATTTAGGAATCTGATACTTGAGATATCAAAGTGCCTTCAGATATTTGTTGTGTTTTGATTTAGACTTTTGCTTCAACTGGTACCCATTTTTAAATCGGTGAAATGGATATGCTGCACACGAGTATGCCATATGTTGTCCTTTTTCCTGAAGTGCTTAGATTTGTGCAGGTAATGTAAAGCCTTCAACAGTAGCTGAAGATGGCAATGGTGCAGAAAGTGTACATTCTACCATGCAAAGGTCTGAAATGTCATCCAAGTCGAAAGGGAAGCGAGGTAAACAGAATGCAAGCAATTCAACAGACACAGCAGTCAATGGAAAATTAGATTCCAAATATTCAGATCGTCCTCCTGCAGAAACACTTCATGGAAGTAGTGGTAGTATAGAGGGACACAATTCTTTAAAGAAGGGCATCCTCAGTGGTCAACTTAGTGATGAAGCTTCTGGTAGTTCTAACCCATTGAAGATTGAAGGAACACAAGGGAATGCAGATGATGACTTCAGTGGTCAAAAGCAAACTGCCCCAGCCAGCAATTTCGGGAAGATGTCTTTGTCTGACAAACCCGGAAATTCCAATGCTCTTGATTCCAGAAAACACAAGTCAACTGCAGAATACCATCCTGATAAATGGATGCTTCCTGACAAGGCTAACGACACATTAACTCAATTGAACCTTGCAATTGTAAGTTCTTTTTTTGGTTGGAACCTAGCAATTGTAAGTTATGTGTTGTATAGTGTAAGGAACCTTATGTGGGTTTAATTTCTATTGTTTTAACTTTTTTTTTTCTTTCTTTTTTGCTGAAGTTTTTACCAAGACTGTCTTATCTGTCATTTCAGGTTGGTCATGTTGATTCAGGAAAATCAACATTGTCAGGAAGACTGCTTCATCTTTTGGGAAGAATCACTAAGAAAGAAATGCACAAATATGAAAAAGATGCCAAGATACAGGTGATGGTGTTTAGACTTGTTTTTCTTCTTGCATTTATACCTTGGCAAACTTATCAATTTATGGGATTGACAAGGCCTCTATTTGAGCAGGGAAAGAGTTCCTTTGCTTATGCGTGGGCTTTAGATGAGAGCCATGAAGAGCGAGAAAGGGGAATTACCATGAACGTGGCAGTTGCATATTTTGATTCCAAAAAGTATCATGTTGTCATCCTCGATTCTCCTGGTCATAAAGATTTTGTTCCAAACATGATATCTGGTGCAACACAAGCGGATGCTGCTATTCTAGTGATTGATGCATCTAATGGTGCCTTCGAAGCTGGATTCGATGGTTCCAAAGGGCAAACGCGTGAGCATGCTCTACTGATTAGAAGCTTTGGTGTGGAACAACTTATAGTTGCTGTCAACAAAATGGATGTTGTGGGGTACTCAAAGGATCGTTTTGATCTTATAGTTACACAACTTGGTACATTTTTTCGTTCTTGCGGCTTCAAGGAATCATGTATTTTGTGGATTCCTTTAAGCGCTATAGAAAACCAAAATCTAGTGGCTGCTCCTTCTGATGCTCGTTTATCGTCCTGGTGGGTTTTTCTTTTTTCCTTCTGCAGCCACTTCATTTGTCCCTTGTGCTTTTTGTTGGATCATGTACGGATGATCCACCTCGGCCTTGATGATTATTGATTAGCTGAGTGAATTTCAGGTACAGAGGACCTTATTTGTTTGATGCAATTGATTCTCTCCAACCTCCAGCAAGAGATTTTGCCAAACCGCTGCTGATGCCCATATGTGATGTAACTAAATCATCTTCACAAGGCCAAGTGTCAGTCTGCGGTAAATTAGTGGCTGGAGCACTTCGCAGTGGATTGAAGGTGCATAATTCATCAACCCTACTTTTCCTTGATAAACTCTTAGTTTGATATAGGGCGGATGCAAAAATTTGTAAGTCTGTATGACTTCCATATCCGCTTTTGAGTTTTGTTGCTCATTTAGTGTGGCCACCTCTCTGGGTATGGGAGCATGTATGTGTTAGAAAGATTACTGCTTTTGAGTGTGTACCCACATTGTTGCTTGCCACTTTTGATTGTAGGTGATGGTGATGCCATCTGGAGAAGTGGGAACAATAAAGTCCTTAGAGCGTGATTCTCAAAGTTCTGCTGTTGCAAGAGCAGGAGACAATGTAACTGTCAATCTCCAAGGAATCGATCTGAGTAACAATGTCATGCCTGGAGGAGTTGTATGCCACCCTGACTATCCCGTCGCTGTTGCAAGGCATTTGGAGCTGAAAGTGCGCGCCTTAGAAGAATTAGCAGTCCCTATTCTCAACGGCTCTCAGGTAAATAGCCAGCTCATTTCCCCCTCCCCCTTCTCCCCTGAATTTCAATGCCGTCTTATTATCGTTTCACCGTCTCCAATTTGCAATCCTTTGTGTTGAGCGCACACAGGTGGAGTTTCACATACATCATGCACAAGAGGCAGGAAAAGTAGCCAAAATACTATCGATACTGGATCCAAAGTCGGGGAAGGAGACGAAGAGATCACCCCGATGCCTTCTCTCCAAGCAAAGCGCAGTGATTGAGGTGAGAAAACTCGAGATCCATTGAAAAAGACAAGAAAACTTACAAACCATTGTCTTCCCTCTCTTTTGGGCGAATGCTTTTTCGTGGCGAACTGAACTGGACCTAATCGGCTGGTATGCAGGTTGTTTTGAATACTCCGGTCTGCGTGGAAGAATACTCCAACTGCAGAGCCCTGGGGAGGGTGTCCCTTCGAGCCATGGGTAGAACCATTGCCATTGGCATTGTGACCCGGATAATCCAGTAGTGAGGAGGACCTGCACTTTTGTGCTGTGTTCTTTTGAGCATAGCTAACGTAGATAACTTACTGAAACTCTGTAAGTGCTCGAGGAAATGACAGGAATAGTCTGCAGTCTACACATTTTGGGTGAACGACGACGTTCTGTATAGAGTCTTCAGTCTTGCATGTATGCTTTCTATTGATTTATTATTGTTTTCTTTCTTGGCTTACTCGTTTGTTTCCCCTTGTTTTGTGGGAAAGGTTGAATGGAAATGGAGGGTAAGAGGCTGTCTGATGTAATCAAGGTTGTCAACCCGCAAGTTGACCCGGGTTGGCCCGCACCCGACCTTGAAAATGGATTAAAATAGCACATTTGAGAGTTAGCCCGGAATGGTCAAATTCGGGCGGTTGGCCTATTCGAGCGGATCACCGGGCTGCTCGTTTCAAAGTGTCGTTGAATTTTTACTATGTTGAATTTAAGTTGATGTTATTTAAGTGTGTTGGAGTTTAAGTACTGTTGTTTTTTATGTTGAATTCAAAATAAGTATAATATAATGACTTTTCATATCTTTTGGCTAAACAGGGGTAAAATGAGTGACCCATTAACTCTTAACTCACTAGCTCGATCGGGTCTGGGTCGACCCGTGGATTGACAATCTTGAATATAATATAATAACTTAATAAGTAATAGGGTCAAATTAGGAAGATGTGTCTTTTAGTAAAAGTCGAATATATTACTGGGAAGTTTGAATAGACTTTTCTTTCTAAAATGTACGAATGGAATTAGAAATCCACACATTGGGTATGTTATTACCTAGATATGGCTTGTGAATCTTTAGTATGAGAAATTAATGAAGAAAGAATCGGACTAGCAGGTGTTTCGATGTGAGCATTTGGTTGTCTGGTTGGAGATAACGTGATTTGGAATTGGGTTTTGAATTTTACAAAGGTTCTTGGAGATAACGTGATTTGAAATATGATAGTTCTATCTATGTAATGAAAAAATGAGTGAAAATTTATTACATTTAACAAAGAAGATAATGATATGAGGAAAAAATAAATCGATTTTGGTTAATCTTTAATCTCCACAATCTAGCTATCTTTCGACTAATCTTCGTTAAAATAGTAGCAACTAAAAACACGGTAGTGCAATCTTGTCTCCACAAGAATAGTACGATCTAACTTATTGAAGACCAAAATGGGGGCATAATGGCTACCCAAAAAAAAACCCCCCGACTTATTCAACTAGTATAAAAAAGTATATGGTTTATAAATTTACATTGAATTTACAACATCCATTTATTTTATCGAGGATTTACCATTCATGTTTTTAATGTGGGTACCACTTGGAATTTTGTAGGTCAACCTTAAATTAAAAAACACTTGATCCAATAATATTATTTGGGGCAATGTCTATTTTTTACCCAAACTTTTTTCAGATTCTTTTATTTTAACCAAACTTATAGAAATTCTATTTATTATCCAAACGTATTATAATTTATCAAAGTCTGGGCATTTATTCTGTTACCGTTACTTATTTCGTCCACGTGAGGAGTGGGATTTTGTTTTTTTTATAATCTTTTTATTAAAAATAGTAAATGATGGTATTCTGACCCCCACGTAGGAAGTCAACTCATTATGGTCATACTTAGTCAGCATTACTAACAGAAAAATTGACGAAAAGTTAACGTTTGGATAATTTTTAGAAATTCAATAAGTTTGGATAAAATAAAAGAATCTGAAAAAGATTTGGGTAAAAAATAGACATTGCCCTATTTTTTTTCCTAAGCACATTATCTTTGACCTAACAAACTATTCAAATAATTTGACATTTGTCCATTTTATAAACCAAGGAATTAGAAAATCAATGGCATCGGAAAACGGGAGTAGACGAGGCCACAAATACATTATTGCCTCTCAAAAACTCAACTCACCTACTACGTAATTCACTTCACTAGTTCACTTTGTCCCCTCGATCACACTTCACGCGCCCCCGCGCGTATGCTCAAGAACAAGTCCTCCTTCCTTTCTTCCCATCTCCCGTCTTCTTCTTCTTCTTCTTCTTCTTCTTCCCAGCTTCCGATTTCCCCCTTCCCCTGTTAGCTAGCTTTCGCTCTCTCACAGAGGTACGATTCCGGATTCTCCTTCTACTTCCTCTCTCTATCATTTCCGATTGCTTCATTTCTCGCGGCAGAGTCTGGCTCTGGCTCTGATTGGTCTTCTTCTTTACTAATTGACTGAGATTGCTCTGCTCGGTTTGGTTATGGTGGAATCTTCGATCACCTTCCTTCGATTTTGCTTTTGATTTCGCGGCTCACTTCTGAACGTTCTGCGGCGGTTGAATGTCAGTTGGTTGATACTTTTCAAACGACTTACCTGGTACTTCTCTTAAAAGGAAAAGAAAAAAAAAAAAAAAAACTCAACGGCATATTCTTCTTTGTAGCCACAGTTTTATCATTTATGACTTTGTTTTTTCCCCGGTACAATTACTTCTTAGTTTAGAACTTGACAAGAATGGTAATTCATGTTTTCATTTCTATGATCCTTCCGTTGATTTCAGTTTGTTTTCAATTTTCTGCACGGTAAGTGGGATCCAGGAAATGAATGATCTTGATAAGAGATGGCCTACTTCTGGCCTTTGGGTTGGTCTGGAATCTGGATTTCATTTGGGATAGATGGATTGTGCTTGACTTGTTTTCGTAGTTTCTGGCTATGGCTAATGGCTATTTATCTGTTACAACTACGAGTGATCTTTTTGATTTGGTGCTTGCAGTTTTCAGCGGATGGATGTCTGTGCCAAGTTCAGGCTTATACTTGGATTCAGCCTGATTTAACGGATCAGATTAGTTGCATCCTTTGGTGGGTTTTCATAATTTTGTGTAGTAGTTTGACATCTGAAGTGAGAAGTGGAAGAGGAGTAATTATACTGGCCATGCCCTTTGTAGACTCTCACTGATGGCGATTGCACACTATTTTCGAAAAGGGTTCACTGCTAAAAGTTTTCACATGGAAGAGATTGAGTTGGATACTGACTGGGAAGATGTAGTGTGTCCAATTTGTTTGGATTTCCCTCATAACTCTGTGCTCCTCCAATGTTCATCATATCACAAGGGTTGCAGGCCATTTGTATGTGACACTGACCACTTGCATTCCAATTGTTTGGACCGCTTCAAGAGTGCATGTGGTATGTCACCTCCTTCAGCAGACTCTGACAAGCCATCATCAGAAGCAGATGAAGATGTCAAACTGGCTTGTCCCTTGTGTAGAGGGGAAGTTACTGGCTGGATTGTTGTCCAGAAAGCTCGATTGCTTTTGGATGAGAAGAAGCGGTGTTGTGAGGAACATCGATGTGGATTTTCAGGTGCGTATTTGGAACTTCAGCAACATGCCAAACTAGAGCACCCACATGCTCGTCCTTCTAAAATCGACCCTGCTCGCCAGCTGGACTGGGATAATTTCCAGCAGTCATCTGAGATCATAGATGTTTTGAGCACCATACATTCGGAAGTGCCACGTGGAGTGGTTTTGGGAGACTATGTAATTGAGTATGGGGATGATGACAATACTGGAGATGAGTTTGATGACTTCCGTGGGGATGAAGGCAACTGGTGGACGTCCTGCATCTTCTATAAGGTCTTTGACAATTTCAGAAACTCAAGGAACAGAAGAAGATCTAGAGTAGCCGATACCGGAAGGGGGAGCCGCCGATCGAGTTATGACACTTCAAACTCAGATGAGGGCTCTGTTGTGTCTGTTGACTTTGCAGAGTATAGATTAGATGAGATGGATGATGAATTTCCAAGTGCAAGCAGGGGCCATTCTACTCATCGCAGGTCAGATTAACCCTTTTTCTCAAGTCAAATGCTTACGCTTGCATTCTCTTTTTCAACTGTTTGGGAATTTTTATGTGCCAAGACATGGCCAACTGGGCAAAGAAGGTGTTAAGCGAACTGCACTGTGAAAAGGGTCCAGTGGACTATCCCCTGGAGAAATGCAAAGAAAAAGATTCCAGATTGGACTCAGAAGATTGAGCCGTGTTGTTAGATGTTAGTTTTAGTACCCTAGTTTTCTTTGCCCACTGGTTGCAGTGCTAATTTGTTGTGAAGCTATTAACCTTGGGGTAGGTGGTTAAGGTTGCAGAGCTGTAATCACATTTATTTGAATTATGTTTGAATGAATACTGGCACATAACACACACATATCGTTAGTATAAGATTCATATTGCAGAATTTTGATTAAGTGATTCTGGTTAGCTGCAGGATAATTGAATTTGCACTCATCAATCTACTCCTGGTGGCTCTTGTTTTACAGTTCTCGCAGGCGCCATTCTCGGTTCTATGATGGCTAGGTATGCATAACGGGGCAAAGCTTGTGAGTTTGGCACTTAAAGATTGGTCCATACATCTTGTTTGGAACCTCAGTTCACCTCCTACCTCGATGCCTGACTCAATGCACCGACGAAACTGAAGCAAGTCAAGCAGGATCACAATGAGAAGTGGGGATGGTCCTGTTAGCGTTCAGACATCATTTTGAAAAAGAAAGCTGCTTACAGTGTTGCATCTTTGTTGCTTTAGGTAGCTGGATTGCTGTTGAAAGATGTGATTCAGAAATGGCGCTAGGCCGATATAGGCAGATGTAATGTGGATAAGATGGTGACTGGGTGTTTTCCCTTCTCTTGCTGTTGTGGTTGTCAGTGGGACTTTTGTTTTGGGAGGAGAAATGGGGTTTGTTTAATGTGATTAGATTTGTTTCCTTTCGTGTTTTCCCTTCTCTTCCAGTAATGGTCTGTTTTCCTGCTATAAGTTTGAGTAGACTTGAAAGTTAACACACTGGCTGTATAAATTGAAAATCGTTGGGGTGATTCAGCTATCAAATTGAAAACCCAGCTAATGTCCGTAAGTGTAGTCCTAATGCTTACTTGAGTGTGTGCATCCTTCGATTGTGAAAAGCGTACATTTAACCGCTATAAAAAGCTGAATCACGATCCAACAACGGTGAATTATTATTCGAATAGTATGATCCGTCGGTCCTAACATCGATGTCATCGAGTGGTGGTGGATTACTAGAACGATGGTGTAAGCTGAGGGACTGTGGCATTTCCCTGGTGATGGTGGCTTGATGATGCGACTGGGCAGCATTAGCTTTCTAGGCTGATGTGACCACATCTGTGTTTGTGTCTCCTTGTTTGATCTTCCTACATTATTTTATGGCCTAACAGAACAAATATTACGTACTAGCAGATCTAAATAATTAAAGTTTGTCCTTTGAGTTTATGCTAGGCCACGCTGACCCATTATTGCCGCCCAATATATTGACCCGGAAGAACACTGTAGCTGTTCCCGCTCTGGCCTCTAAAAGACTTGTAGGATCAAAGCTTTCAAACACTTCTCTCCCCGAAGAGTTCAAAGTTCTTCTGGCATCCACAATGGGTCATATCGTATTAGTATCTGAGCCTCCCCAGTTCTCCAAACGAGTCCTGATTGGCACATCTGCATCTAGTGAGAGGATCTCAGCGCTCGCTCATCTCGAACACACATCTCTGATTGAGGAATCAGTTCAGTCTTTCGGTGTTAGGGGGTCGGGCCATACAGAAGTCCGGCAGCACAAGACAATCCTGATTTCAGTTCAAATACAAATGCCATTGACATGGTCACATAACGGAAATAAGAAGCAGCTAGGCAAATTCGCATCCAACTAAACAAAATCCAGAATACCAGGCTCTGATTCCCAGTGCAAATCCAATTTAAGGAAAAATAACGTCGGTGTAGAAACTGCTGTTAGGCTTTTACCAAGACACATAGACCAGTACATGTAGAGACCAACCAGTAGCATCAGCTGTAGCTGTAGCTGTAACTGAAGCTGTATTTCTTGTGTGGCATGACTAATACGGGACATTATTGGGCAGGTTCCTTATAACGTTGCTTTTCATGCCAATCTTAGAGCGCATCACCTCGACATCTGATCGCTTCATTGCCTTCATCACTTTCATCCTCACAAACTGCTCTTTCGACTGTACCGTTGCCAACCCCATGCTCCTATACCTGGAAGCATTCGCCCACAAGAGAGAATCAGTGCCATGTTTGAAGATTGCAGAATATTCTAACCAGAGAAGGGGAAAGGGGAGGGAATGCAAACCTAGCAGCTAAGGTGGCAGTCATGGGGACATCACTTGCAGGTGGTCGTGGCTTCTGGCGATAATAACGGAGGAATTCTCGGGAACCAAGTGTTTTAGATAGTACTTTACCATCAGTCCTCGAAGTGATAATTAGCTCAGAACCACTACCCCCGAGATCCAGGGTGTTGTCCATATCCCCTGAAGCAACCAGCTGTTTTCCATCCTCATCCATGTAACTACACGGATGATGTAGCACAGTGTTATTTTCAATCATAGCCAAACCAACACAAAGGTTATAAGAAAGAATGTCATAGAGCAAAACCTGCTACTATAATCATAAAACTCCTCCAACTCGACTTCCTCTTCATCATCCCCATCACCATAATGGACTTTGCAGTGACTTTTTGCTTCCATGTGCTTCCTAACTGCTTCTACGCTGCTAAATGGCTGACGTTGATCGTTGCAGTATAAACAAATGAAATCCCTCGTCACCTGGGAAAAAAGGGCAGAAACAGAATCGATTGAGCAAAACAAGATACAAGAGGACAAATATAAAGAAAGAAATCAAACATATGGAACTCAGGGCTACCTTGAGACCAAGATAAGTAAGGAACCCCTTCGGATCCTTCAAATACTCTAAATCAGGAATAAAGAACCCATGCTGCTTATGCATGTGCACCATGCACCCTTCTGTATTGTCATGCTCTTGATCACACATGAAGCAAACACTAGGATCAAACAAATCAGCATCTTCTTCTTCCTCCTCATCTTCATCCATATCATTGCTGGCGCCTACTCCATCCACATTCAAACCAGTCATTGACTTGGTGGCATCACCAACCAATACTTCATCTGGGTCAACCTCTTCCCACTCATCATCATCCTCATCACTTTCTTCACTCTCCTCTTTCTGCGGAGGTCTGTTCACTACCCGTTGAGGACGTGGCTTGATTATTGTTTCCTCTTCTTCCAACATTGTGCCCTGAGAAGCCCTCAAGATGTGGCCCCTCGACTTAAGGTGTTGCTCGTGAGCTTTCATGCTTCGATAACCCTTGCCACAAAGGGTGCAAGTATACAGCATCGGGGTCTCACGAGACTTATCTTTCTCTTGAGCAATTGCAGACTGTCTAGCCTCAAATAATGCTTCCGTAACTCCTGGAACCCCAGCCACCTGATAGTTTCCGATGTACAACACAAAGCAGAGCTATTGTCAGATTCCCATATTAACAACAGCTGCAATTGGCAATTCAAGGGCGAGTATTGTTCTTTCTCTACAGTGCAAAAAAATTGAACTTTCCCAGAAAGCAGTGATTCAAACAGACATGATCGAAGTAGTTCTTTTTGGGAAAGCAGGCAGTAGAAACAGTCATGAAACCGCTGCAATCGAACGGGAAAGCAAAACCCAGAACTCTACTCTAGTCTTTATAAGGAATTGCCATAGAATCAATCAATAACCCGAAGAGCAGTAAACCCTAGTCCACCCCAAAGGCAAAGCCGCCATCATTCATGTCCTTATTCTGGAGTCGAGGTTGATGGGAAGAGTGAAGAAAGAGGAGAAACCTTGCGTTTGAGATTGTAGCGATGCCAATCAGACTTGTAATGGAGCTTCTGCTCAGCATCGTCTTGGAATTCTTTGTTGCAAGAGTTGCAGGTCAGGCCCGACATTTTGGCACTCTCCGGCTGGATGGAGACTGCGAGAAGAGAAAGAAGGAGGCAGAGTGTATAAGAAGGGAAACGCAAAAACGGAGAAAGAAGGCGCCGGCGGGCCAAATTTTATACGACTGGCGGGCGGCGGCTCCAATCGGTCGGTTGATAACGGTGGTAAGGAATGAAGAGAAATCTTTGCGCGTAAATGCTTACCTAAGCCATTACGAAAGAGATCGTTGTGTTGTTCCAATTGGGCTGAGCCCATTCTAATACCCAGTATCTATGGGCTTCACTGATGGTTCGTTGCCATTTGTATGGGCCATACCGTCCTTCGGACCCAATCTCACCATTGGGCCCAGAGAAAAGCAACATTTATACGTCCTTCCCTCTTAAATCTCAGTTGTCGAGAGTTCAACTTCAACCCGCAAAATTCACCGGAGCGACGCCATGGATCCCTACCCTTCCTCCTCTCAAATCGCGCAGAAGACCTGGGAACTCGAGAACGATATCGTCTCCGTCGACGCTCCGGCGACGTCGTCCAGCTCCGACGCAGCTTCCGATGCCATCTTCTACTACGACGATGCGGCTCAGGCCAAGTTCCAGCAGGAGAAGCCCTGGGCCAACGATCCTCACTACTTCCGCCGGGTGAAGATCTCCGCTCTCGCCCTCCTCAAGATGGTCGTCCACGCTCGATCCGGCGGAACAATCGAGGTCATGGGGCTTATGCAAGGGAAGACTGACGGCGACGCCATTATCGTTATGGACGCCTTTGCTTTGCCTGTTGAAGGGACTGAGACTAGGGTTAATGCCCAGGCTGATGCGTACGAGTACATGGTTGATTATTCGCAGACTAACAAGCAGGTTAGAGCTTTTCTTTGCCCTTCCTATAATCTTCCTTTTATTCAATTGGGTTTTCGTTTGCATATAGCTAACTGCTGCTAGGGTTTATGTCTCGCAGTAGGAGTTTCTATTGTGGAACTCGATTTCGTAGACTTAAATAGAAATTGAAGGATTTATAAGTGTAGCATTAGCTTGGATAAAGAAGTTCGTTGTGTGAAAGTAGTTGGTCTCGAGTGGACTTGATTGAGTTGCTCGTACGTGTTCTTTGATCTATGCTTAGCTAGTCTCTTTGTAACAAAGATGCTGTTTTTGTAGGCTGGGCGGCTAGAGAATGTTGTGGGGTGGTATCATTCGCATCCTGGTTATGGATGCTGGCTCTCCGGAATTGATGTGTCAACCCAGATGCTAAATCAGCAGTTTCAGGAGCCCTTTCTAGCAGTTGTTATTGATCCAACTAGGACGGTATCAGCTGGGAAGGTTGAAATCGGGGCCTTCAGGACATACCCCGAGGGATACAAACCTCCAGATGACCCAGTTTCCGAATACCAGACCATTCCTCTGAACAAAATTGAGGACTTTGGTGTGCACTGCAAGCAGGTTGTCATCTTGATTTTGACTGTTATATCTTTTGGCGATTCGTATGACTGCAATTGTATTGCTAATGCTTTTCTGCTTCTGCAGTATTACTCTCTAGATATCACTTACTTCAAGTCATCCCTCGATAGCCACCTCTTGGATCTTTTGTGGAACAAATACTGGGTGAACACACTTTCTTCTTCGCCTCTCTTGGGCAATGGGGACTATGTGGCTGGACAAATTTCAGATTTAGGTAATGTGTTACATTGTTGATTGCATTTCATAGAGCTGCACTTCAAGACGAAAGTTGGAATGTTGGTTAGCTATGGGGAAACCAGCAAATATTGGCCTTCCCTCATTATGAATTAACACATCCTGTGTCTTTCACAGCTGAAAAGCTGGAGCAAGCAGAGAATCAACTGGCTCACTCTCGATTTGGATCCTTGATAGCACCGCCCCAGAGGAAGAAAGAGGTGAGGACTCTTTTTCTGTTGCTTTTGAATCATGAAGATATCTGTTGAACATGAGAGCCTGTGATGAATGCTTCTACTTCTTCCTTACATATAAAGTTTCCACGTTTGATTTGAAGAGAGTCATGTGTGATAAGTGACTGCTCCCTCCCTTATCTCTAGTGGTCAAACCTTTTTCTGGTTTAAAGTTGTATTATGGTGGTCTTATAATATCATTATGGTTGTTCATGCATATGCCTCGTTGGAGTGGGCTTGGTTACTGAACAACCTCATTTTGTGAGTTGCAGGAAGAATCACAGCTTGCTAAAATCACCCGAGACAGTGCTAAGATTACCGTGGAACAGGTCCATGGTCTAATGTCACAGGTGAGGTCCCTGGCATACTTTGATCTCTTCATAGAAAAATGCTCTTATTCATACATTCGTGTTATCTGTGTTAGGTTATCAAGGACATCCTTTTCAATTCAGTGCGACAATCAAGTAGGTCTCGTGCAGAGACAGCAGAGACATCGGAGCCGGAGCCAATGGTGGAGTCGTGAGTGATTTTGTTGCGACATTTTGTGTTCCTGATCTTTTCATGCTAGGGGCTAAATGAAAACTTTTATATGATAGCTTGAGGATAGCAAACAAAAGTAGCTTGAGTTGGTCTTTAACTTGTCCAGGCATATGTAAATTCTTTTTGTCAGCTCCATTCCTTCATCAATTTGCTTCTGTTGCAAAATTGCTGGATTATTGGAAATGCTTGGTAATGGTGAATGATCGGAGACTATTGTTCCCCCATCGGAAATTGTTCTTATGCCTACTAATTGCTTGTCTGAGTACTTCTGCTGTTCCATTGCTCAAGCAATTAGTAGGTATCTTCATGTTGTACCAAAACTCCTCCTTACTCTCTAGGGGTGTCGACGTTCGGTAATTCGGGTTTACCCGAAATGACCCGATTATATACATTTTCGGTTTTTCGGGTTCGTTTCGGGTTTTCGGTTTCGGTTTTGCTTATCGGTTTTTCTGGTTTCGGCTAAAAACCTCTAATGAATAGAACTCAGCCCGTATTTTTAGGCATTCGGGGTTTCGAGTTTCGGTTTTGCTTTAACCGAACCCGATAAGGAATTTTCGGGTTTCTGGTACTCGAAACCGAAAATCACTAAAACTGAATCCGAACCTGATAAGGAATTTTCGGGTTTCAGGTAACCGAAACCCGCAAGTCCTTATCAGGTTCGGGTTCAGTTTTAGTGATTTTCGGTTTCGAGTTTTTTCGGGTTTCGGTTTGAGTATCCGAACCCGACCTGAACTGACACCCCTATTCTCCAGCCTGCTCCTCCTCTACAGATAGATAGGAATATGAGTGCTCACAGTATCATCTCTGAAAACTGTTCAAAATACCAAAGTCGTCTGATCAATTGTTGAGCACCCTGTAATCGTTGTATAGATACAATATCACTTTAATTTACTTCATCTACCAAAAAAGTCACTAATGATATAATTTATACTAAAATTACGGTTTAATCATAATTAATCATTAAAATAGCCTATCAATTTTGGATGTATCCGATATTTTCAATCCCACCTACATACATGTTTCAGCAAAAGAATCCAAGTTACCGGCGGAACAGCGAAGCTAACTCTCCGGTCCCTTTACTTACCGGCGCGTGCGCGGCGATATATTAATAAAATAATAATAAAATTATTCTAAAAAGAAATCCTAACATCTCAACAATTAGGGGTGTACATGGGTCGGGTGATCCGGGTTTAGACATTTTAATCACCCGATTCGTGAACTACGGTTTGAAAAATATTAAATCCAAACCCATCCAAAAAAATCTAAACCCTACGGTTTGTTTCTAATTGGGTTGGGTCGGGTTGGCCATTTTTTTAAGTAAAAACCAAATCCAACACAAAATATGTAGTTATTCTATACCATAAAAATATTTTATAACTAATTACAAATTCAAACGAATAAATCGAGGTGAAAGGTATCAAAATTCACAAATGTTGTTTGAATTTTAATAAAATTTGATTTACTTCAACTTATGTCTAGTTTTTTTCCACGATATTTGTTGAAATAGGGTAAAAATGTTACAAATGAACACATCCATAATATGTTATTCTATTAAAATTGTCCACAAGAAAAAGAATTACGCGAATCATAGTTATATTAAATTTATGTCTAAACTTTAAGCCAAAGAATGCATTAGATTAGAGAGACCTTAAGAGAAAAATATGACGAAATATCTTAATTTTCTCATAAGTATGACTATATACGACATAAATATTTTTTTCTATACGAACTCATACTAATAATTGGAATACGGGTTGGGTCGGGTTCTACAGATTGTGTAATCCAAAATCCAAACCAAACCCAGAAGAAGCGGGTTGTACAAAAGAAATCCTCACTCAACCCAAAATCTTTGTTTTGATGATAAATACGAATGAGTTGGATCGGATTGAACGGATGGGTCGGTTTTGCGGGGTGTTGCAAGTAGCAACAACAACAACTATACTGCTCTGCTCGGAAAAAGCGCGAAGGCAGCAAATTTTCACGGGTGGGACCTACCTACCCTAGTACTGCCCGGTACTCATCATCGACGGACGTCCTATTCCTTCTCCCCCAACTTTTTTGGTATATAATCGCTCCCCCGCAACCAAACTCAAAATTCGCCTCTGCATTTTACCCCGCGCCGCCTCTCTCTTCTTCTCTTCCGCTGTATCATGATTTCACTCTAAGCGCGCCGCTCTCCGACTATCTAGCTAGTATTTTTCCCGGTGATCGCCCGACGTCCGCGTAAACATGGCGGCGAAATATGGCATCAGCCTTGAAGAAGTAAAAAACGAGGCCGTTGATCTGGTACTCCCTCCTCCTTCCCCTTCTTCTTCTTCTTCTTCGTCTTAGTTTGAAAACATTCCAGCTGACACAGTGCGATTGATTCGTGGAGTTGTTTACTTGTTTTACGATATATTCCATCTGTTTGGTTTCGAACTTTTCGTTTTGTCGCGAGGCCGAGAGCTTCTTGCGTTTTGTTGAGCTTTTACTGTTCGGAGACGACTGCTAGTATTATTTTCGTTTGAATTGCCAGATCTGTTCTTCGTTCTTCTAGTTACTCTGTAACGTGATTTTATTTTGAATCGTCTTCTCGATTTTGATTTATGTTAATGAGAAACTGCGGTTGAAATAGTAGCAGAGGTGTGCAATTAGCTATAGCTTCGTCTGGAGAGGTCTGGGAATCGGATGAACAGAGAATTAGATATAAAACTGTTGCTATCATCGTTAGTCTTTTTGTTGCAGAACAGTAGTGGTTGTGACGGATTGGTAGGGACGACGACTGCCTGGCTATCGGAAGCAACTCGATCTCGGAGAAAATTGTAATTAATTGGAAATACAGGAGAGCAAGCTAAAAACACGTTTCCCTTCTCCCCTAATTATTCGTAATCACGTTAATTCTTGGATGGCTCGGCCCCCAAAGAGTCGGGGTGGATGGTCAAATTTTGTTTTATTTCCTAATTATTGTCAATTTTATTGATTACAAGATAATTAAGTATTTTTTTACAAAAAAGAAAGTAGGAAGGAGAGGGAAAATTCGATTGTACAGAATTTTCATCGATTTGCTTCTCAATCCCCACGCGCACCACCGGCGCGGGCGCGTCTGTGAGCTTAGTCATTTTTCTCAAATAACAAACAAACAAGGCCTTTTCTATAGCTTGCAAGCAAATAATAAAATCAGAACTGAATCAGTGAATCACATTTGCAGGAAAGGATTCCCATCGAGGAGGTGTTTGAGCAGCTGAAATGTTCACGGGAAGGTCTCACCGGCGGTGAGGGGGCCAACAGGCTTCAAGTTTTTGGACCCAACAAATTGGAAGAGAGGAAGGTTTGTGAGATTGTGACTCTGATCTATTACCCGTTTCACTTCAGTTTTTTTTCTCGGGGAATGATTGATTCGTGTAAATTTGGTTACAGGAGAGCAAATTTCTGAAGTTTCTGGGTTTTATGTGGAACCCGCTGTCATGGGTCATGGAAGCTGCAGCTGTCATGGCCTTACTCTTGGCCAACGATGGACGAAGGCCTCCAGACTGGCAGGACTTCATCGGTATAGTTACCCTGCTGGTCATCAACTCCACCATCAGTTTCGTTGAGGAAAATAACGCTGGAAATGCAGCGGCTGCACTTATGGCTGGCCTTGCTCCCAAGACCAAGGTGGGTAATCTTTCATCTCTACTTCTAGCTGCTGCTTCAGTTTGCATGTATCTGACTTACTGTTGCGAACTCATAATGATAGGTTCTTCGAGATGGGTGCTGGACGGAGCAAGAAGCTGCAATCTTGGTTCCAGGAGACATTATCAGCATCAAGTTGGGAGATATTGTCCCTGCTGATGCTCGTCTTCTTGAGGGTGATCCTCTAAAGATCGATCAATCTGCTCTTACTGGGGAGTCGCTTCCTGTCACTAAGAACCCTTACGATGAAGTCTTCTCTGGGTCGACCTGTAAGCAAGGCGAAATCGAAGCTGTTGTCATTGCCACTGGTGTGCACACCTTCTTTGGTAAAGCTGCTCATCTCGTGGACAGCACCAATCAAGTTGGCCATTTCCAGGCCGTCCTTACTGCTATTGGTAACTTCTGTATTTGCTCGATTGCTGCCGGAATACTTGTTGAGATTATAGTGATGTACCCCATACAGCACCGCAAGTACAGAGACGGGATTGACAACTTGCTTGTTCTCTTGATTGGGGGAATACCTATTGCTATGCCAACCGTTTTATCTGTCACCATGGCTATTGGCTCTCACAGGCTGTCTCAGCAGGGGGCTATTACCAAGAGAATGACTGCCATTGAGGAGATGGCCGGTATGGATGTGCTGTGCAGTGATAAGACCGGGACTCTTACGTTGAACAAGCTGTCTGTTGATAGGACCTTGATTGAGGTGTTCGTTAAGGGTATGGACACAGAGCATGTCATTCTTCTTGCTTCCAGAGCTTCAAGGACTGAGAATCAGGATGCTATTGATGCGGCTATTGTAGGAATGCTTGCAGACCCTAAGGAGGTGTGTAGTATTCAACTTAGCTATCTGGCCACAAATCTCCTGATCGAAGTCTGCTGATTGGTTTTGAGTAAAATAAAACCTGAATTTTTTTGCAGGCGCGAGCTGGAGTTAGGGAGGTTCATTTTCTTCCATTCAATCCTGTCGACAAGAGGACTGCTTTGACCTATGTTGATTTGGACGATAACTGGCACCGGGCAAGCAAAGGTGCTCCTGAGCAGGTAATATTTATTCTGCTTCAGTTTTTAGCACATGGATCATTTGGTGACGACAGCGAAGTTAATGTGTGTGTTCATTTTTTGAGGCAGATATTGAACTTGTGCAATTGCAAGGAGGATGTTAGAAGGAAGGTTCATGCAGTGATTGATAAGTTTGCTGAACGTGGGCTTCGATCTTTAGGAGTAGCACGACAGGTCTGTACCAGTTTTCATTTTTAACTGCTGGCCTTTGACATTCGTGTGTTGAACTAATCGTTTACCCATCCCATGAGAATATAGGAAGTACCAGAGAAGAACAAAGACAGTCCAGGTGGTCCATGGCAGTTGGTTGGTTTGTTGCCTCTATTTGATCCTCCAAGGCATGACAGTGCTGAAACAATCAGAAGAGCTCTTCACCTTGGAGTCAATGTCAAGATGATTACTGGTAAAGACTTTGGGTTGCTTATCTTGTAACTGCAATAGTTAGTCTGTGTTTAAGCTCTTAATGTTTTTTATTTATTTATTGTTATTCAGGTGATCAGCTTGCAATTGCCAAGGAAACAGGAAGGAGGCTTGGGATGGGAACCAACATGTATCCTTCATCTTCATTGCTTGGCCAAAGCAAGGATGCCTCCATTGCGTCCCTCCCTGTGGATGAGTTGATTGAAAAGGCTGATGGATTTGCTGGAGTTTTCCCAGGTATCTCCTCTGCCCTAATAGTCACTAACAAGGGCGGGAACGTCTGTAATATGATCTAAAGTAACTTAAAACTTGTTGCCTTTGACAGAGCACAAGTATGAGATTGTGAAGAGGCTACAAGAGAAGAAACACATCTGCGGAATGACGGGAGATGGTGTGAACGATGCTCCTGCACTGAAGAAGGCTGATATCGGGATTGCTGTTGCTGATGCCACTGATGCAGCTAGGGGTGCTTCTGACATTGTCCTCACTGAACCGGGGCTCAGCGTGATCATAAGTGCAGTGCTTACCAGCAGGGCTATTTTCCAGAGAATGAAAAATTACACGGTTTTCCCTTCTACACCATTTGTCCTTCTGTTAATAGTCGCCACTCATTAATAAAATGCCCCATACTGAGACTCTCTTATTCTGTATCTCATGTTCTTTGCAGATATATGCTGTCTCCATCACCATCCGTATTGTTGTAAGTTCTCTATATATATAAACATAAATTTGTCTAGCTGTATTTGTAACAACTCAGTTTTGGATTCATGTGGGATTGCCTGTTTGGTATTTTGGCAGCTTGGGTTCATGTTGATTGCCTTGATATGGAAGTTCGATTTCTCTCCATTCATGGTTTTGATCATTGCTGTACTCAATGACGGTGAGTCTAATTAATCGGATTTTCTTTTCTCATGTTTGCTAGAGAGCAGGAAGCTAAATTCTGTCAATTCGTGATACAGGAACGATAATGACGATATCAAAGGATCGAGTTAAGCCATCTCCGCTGCCAGACAGCTGGAAGCTGAAAGAGATCTTCAGTACTGGAGTGGTACTGGGAACTTACATGGCAATAATGACAGTTCTTTTCTTCTGGGCCATGCGGGAGACTAATTTCTTCTCGGTAAAAGAACAGCCACAATATTATTACTTCGTTGGAGATTTTGGATAAACAATAAAGCAACGGATGAGTTTTGTTGATTGTTTGCTTTCTGAATAATTTGTTCGCAGGACAAGTTCCATGTAAGGCCGTTGCATGATAGACCAGAACAGATGATGTCTGCACTATACTTGCAAGTGAGCATAGTGAGCCAAGCACTGATATTCGTGACGAGATCTCGCAGCTGGTCCTTTGTGGAAGTCCCCGGGAAGCTCCTCCTCCTTGCTTTCATGGTTGCTCAACTGATTGCAACAATGATTGCGGTGTATGCCAACTGGCCGTTTGCGAGAATAAGGGGCTGCGGCTGGGGTTGGGCTGGCGTCATCTGGCTCTACAGCTTGGTTACTTACATCCCACTCGACATCCTCAAGTTCGCCATTCGCTATGTTCTCAGCGGCAAGGCCTGGGATAATCTCTTGGAGAACAAGGTAAACTGTTTCCCTTCATTCCTCGTCATGAAATGTGGGCTGGCGTTATGGTATTATATTAAACTTGGTAATTTTCCTTCACAGACGGCGTTTACTACTAAGACGAATTACGGGAAAGAGGAAAGGGAAGCACAGTGGGCTACTGCGCAGAGAACTCTCCACGGGCTTCAGCCTCCTGAGACCACCAACTTCTTTGCTGACAAGAACAGTTACAGTGAGCCTTCTGAGATTGCTGAGCAAGCCAAGCGCCGAGCTGAGGTTGCTAGGTACGTAACAGAGAGAATTAGTTTTCGTTTATTGTCGATGATTTAGCTGGTATTCATCACGGGGTTCGTTGCTTCTGATGCATGAATGAACAGGTTGAGGGAGCTGACTACACTGAAGGGGCACGTCGAGTCGGTAGTGAAGCTTAAAGGACTCGACATTGACACCATTCAACAACATTACACAGTTTAGAGAGGCAAAGCAACTTGACCAACACTTACGATGACGAAACAACACCGGCATGTGTGTAGCCGCCACCATGCCTAGAGTATATAGATTTCTGGCAATGTTTGTTAGCCTTCTTAGTAGCAAAAAATTTGAACTTAGGCAGTGTTCTTAGTTTAGATAAAACTCTGAATCTCATTTTGATGTCGTTGTTTCGCCGTCTTAGTATCTATCTATCTCCATCGCCGATCTCTCTCTCGTTCAGTCACTCCGATTGGTTTTGGTTCGGGTGAAAAATTTCTCCTTTCTCGAATTGGTATTCGTTATAGTGGTATTGACAATACTTATACCAATAGCAAAGGTTAACCTGCCGGAAATTATCAGTATGAACAGTATCAAATCAAACCACAAACAACGGTAGGGAACAGCTGCTTGTTTATCATCGGTAAAAAATAGCCTCTCTTTGCTTGAGAATTCAAGATTGCTGCAAATGGGCTCTCTTTTATATACATGCATTGAGGTAGTAGGGGAAAGCTCTTTAAGCCCTAACTCAAGTCAAGTCAAGCATTATCAAGTCAGTCGCGGTGGATGGCATATCAAGTCCATCCCAAATCAGTGTTTAGCAGACTCAATCACGGTAAAGAATAGTCTCAGACCGAATTCGTGATCTGTTGTCTTTAAAATTTAAGGAAAATGGTTTTTGGAAAAATCGACAAAAAAGTTACGAAAATATGATCCGAAAAAAAATCAGCCCAAATCGGCGATTAAGAGACTTCATCATCGGTGGAGAATAGCCTCGAGCCGAATCCGTGATCCGGGGCCTTAAAAATCAAAGAAAAATGGCTTTTGAAAAAATTGCATACAGTGATGGTACCCCTTTGAAATTTACCAAAAAAAGCCCGAAAAACTACGACCAAATCGATGCTTATTAGTCTTAATCAATAGTGAAGAATACCTTCAGGTCGAATATGTGATATGTAACCTTCAGAATCAAAGGAAAATGGTCTCTCGGAAAAATTGTTAGAAATATGTGATGGTACCCCTTTGGAATATGCCAAAAATAGACGCGAAAAAATCCGCTCAACTTGCTGCTCAATATACTTAATCATTGGTGAAGAATAGGCTCGGGACGAATGTGTGGCATGTAGCCTTCTAAATATAAGAAAAATGATATTTCGAAAACAATTGACAAAATTACAAAAATGCCCTCCGATATATTTTTTTTTTGCCAAAATTGGCTATTAATATACTTCATCATCGATGTAGAACAAGACCAAGCTGAATCCATGAACTGTAGCATTCAAAATCCAAAAAATTGGCCTTTAAAAAAATTGCACGAAACCCCTTTGGAATCTGCCACAAATGAACTCGGAAAAAATCGGTCAAATTGGTGCTTAATAGGCTTCATCATCGGTGGAAAATAGCCTCAAGCCAATTCCGTGATTTCTATCCTTCAAAATTGGTCCTTCAAAAAATCGTCTGAAATCTATGATGGTATCCCTTTTGAATCCTTCAAAAAAGGCTGAATCCGTGATTTGTAGCATTCAAAATCAAAGAAAAATGAAATTTCGAAAAACTCTCCCAAAATATTATGAAACTACCCTCTGGAAAAAAATCTTCCCAAACCAATGATTGATAGACTTCATCATCGGTGGAGATTAGCCTAAGGACGAATCCGTGATCTGTTGCCTTAAAAATCCAAGAAAATAGTTTTTCGAAAAAATCGCCTGAAATTTGTGATGCCTATAGAACCTACAAAAAATGGTCCCGGGAATTTTTTGTCAAAATTGTTGTTTAATAGACTTAATCATCGATAAAGAATAGTCTTAGACCAAATCTGTTATTTGTAGTCGTCAAAATATAAGGAAAATGGCTTTTCAAAATATAAGGAAAACGGGTTTTTAAAAAAACCCTAAAAATTACTAAAATGTCATCCAGAAAAAATCCACTAAAATCATATATTCATAGACTTCATCATTGATTGAGAATAGCTTCATACCGAATCCGTGATCTGTAGTCTTTAAAATGCAAGTAAAATGGTTTTTGGAAAATATATGTTCTTCACATCTTCTATCATACGTTCTTTCCCTTGCCACTTCCAGGATAAACCCCTTTCAATCCGTACTCTACAAATCCCAACTTATAATTCTGTGTAGGACTGTGATGCGGCGGAACGGGTTCATAAATCGGTTCGGAATTCGAACGATCGGTTCAGTTAATTTTGAAACGAAATTCGAACACCAACCTCATCATTTCTGATTCGCATATTGTATTAATTTGTTTCATACAATTAAGAATGTGGTTTGGTTCGGTTCGGTTCGGGTAAACCAAACATGATGTCCACCCCGACTTATATGTTCGTACCATATATGGAGGGAAAAACCACAAAAAATGTTGATACTTGTAGGAGTAAGCAGCATAATTAAAATCTTCATAGGTCTCAGTGAAAAAACGACAAACATAATGTCAAGACACAAGAGACCTACAAAATAAAACTACATTGTCACGTAAATACTGGTAAACGAATTGATATCATTGTTATCATTACCAGAAACACACTATCACTAATTCACTATAATTGTGTTACCATGGAGACCTAGACCCTGATAATATGTTTATATGAGGGAAAATTGGAATAATAAGAAAGGCAAATGTGAACTAAGTCAACGTGTGCTTCGAACGCCAAAAGTTTGGAAGATCAGTTTTCCTCACTCGTGTGAAAATGCAAGTACAAATAGAAAACATGAAGACACGAAAATGAAATTGACCAAAACATGAAGACATGTTTGTAAAATGAAAGCAAAAAATAACAAAGCTAGAAGAAGAGAGGGAGAAGAGAAGAGTGTGTGAAATAGAAAGAAAAATGAAAACCAAAAATTGAAACAAATCCAACAAAAAAAAAGCAAAAGTAATAGCAGCGAAGGGAGGGAGAGCGAGAGTGCGAGCGATCGAGGGAGCTAAGTCGAAGGCAAAGAGCGAGCTCAGACACAGAGAGGGAGGAAAGGAAAAGGGAAAACCCCGAGCTTCTGGGCTTTCTTCTCAAATCCAAAAGGCCGAAAGAAATAGGAAAAAAGTGGGAACTCTGAATGCGCTCGAAATAGAAATTTTGAGGAAAGTAATAAGAGGCGCGAAGAAGGAAGAATCGAAGCTGGCAAAGAAGAAGAAAGATTCGAGGAAGCCCCAAACTCAGTGAGCTCTTCGGATTTCTTCTTCCCCGTGTCGCCCCCCGAAATTTCGTGAACTGGGTTCAGGTTAGATAGCTCAAATCAATCTCCAAGCTTCGAGCTTTTTTTTTTACTCTCTCTCAGTTTACTTCTCCTACTCTTCATTGTGCTTTCTTCAATTCGAATTTTTTTTATTGGGTTTCCCCCTTTTTTCATCTCTTCAATTCCTGCTCTGTTCGTAATTCAATCCTCCTAACTCAATGATCTCTGTTTCTCAACTTCAAAATTTCCCCCAATTCGAAGTTCGCTGCTTTTTTGAATTTCGTGACATTAGTTTCGTAGTGTGTGGTTTCTAATGGGTGGGTTCTTATGATTTGGCGGTGCCTGCAGGTTTTCACTACAGTACGAGGGTGCCCAAAGTTTCAAACTTAGGGTTTTGATTCATTATGCCTTAGGGATTATATTTGGGTTGGTTGCGGGCCTCCCATAACTTTGTTGTAAGTGGGTTTTGATCTCTAGGGTTTTGGATCTTTGCCAAGATGAGATTTGCTGTCGCAATGTGCTGCTTGTGGGTTGGTAAATTTGGAGTCATTTGGAAGCGAAGGTAACTTACATTTCGGAATCTGCATTTCTGGCACCACAGTGTATGGTTTGTGAATCTGCTTATTCTGAGGTACAAAGGTCAAAGAGGAGGTTGTTGCTTCATTTGTATTGAAATGATACGATGATGGCAGTTGAATTCGAAGTTGATTGGCTGCAGCAATAACAGTAGCATCCACAACAGCTATCTGGGGGAGTTTTAGGGTTTTTTCCCCATCTGTTGAATGTGGTATTAAACTGTCTCTTGAGAAATGCAGCTTCAACAGAGCTCCAGAATTGATTTGGTCGAACTAAAGACTCAGCTTGTGAAGAAGATTGGGGCTGAGAGGTCAAAGAAGTATTTCTTTAACTTAAATAGGTTTCTTAGTCAGAGACAAAGTAAGAGTGACTTCGACAAGTCTTGTTTTCGGTTGCTTGGTAGGGAGAATCTCCCTCTACACAACCAGCTAATCCGTGGGATTCTGAAGAATGCATGCCTGGCAAAGACCCCTCCGCCGCCAGCTTATGATGTGGGCCCCACAAAATCTGCAACAATTCAGACAGCAAAAAGTTCTCCTTCTGGCAGAGAGGATGTTCACGAACAAAGTGGGGCCCTTCTCCCAAATCAGGGTCAAAACGTTTCCATTTGGTCAAATGGTGTTTTGCCTGTATCGCCACGGAAAATTAGGTCAGGTACTACGCATAGGAAGATTAGAGATCGGCCTAGCGCACTTGGAACAAATGGAAAAGTCGAATGTTTCCCACATCAATCCATTGGTGCAGAAGATGGCGGAAGTAATAAGATCGTTATGGAGAATGGGGCGTTCAGTCCATGTGATTACCAGAGACCTCTGCCTCAGCAACTTCAAGCAGTGGCCGAGCAACCTGAGAATGGAAGGGAAGCCTTGATCCAACGATCCACTGAGAAACCAATGACGCATAGCAAAGACAGAAGGACCACATTTATTGATGAGGGTGAAGAGGTCGAGCAAGCAAACCACTTGACCTTCTCTAGAAATCATGTCCATGCACCACTTGGTCTTCCATTTTGCCTGGCTAGTAGCATTTCTGGTGGTACCCGCAAAGCTCCAGCAGCGTTATGTTCTGATGATGAATTTGGTATTTGTTACAACAGCGGTGTCTTGTCTGATACAGAGATGCTGAGAAAACGCATGGAGCAGATTGCAGTTTCGCAGGGCCTTGGAGGGGTTTCAATGGAATGTGCAAATATGTTGAATAACATGTTAGATGTGTACTTAAAGAGGATGATCAAGTCCTGTGTTGAATTGGTTGGAGCAAGGGCTCCTCAGGACCAGAGAAAGCAGCAGGCAGGCCTCAAGCAGCAGTTTCTTCCGGGGAAAGTTGTCAATGGAGTATGGCCCAGTAGTAATCACTTGCACATGCAAAATGCCAGTGGATCCCTAGAAGTAATGCAAGAACAACAAAGGCCACAATGTTCGATATCTTTGCGTGATTTCAAAGTCGCCATGGAGTTAAATCCGCAGCAACTTGGTGAAGATTGGCCTTTACTACTGGAGAGAATCTGCATGCAGTCATACGAGGATTGAAGAATTAATCTTAAAGGAGGATCTCTTTATATCAGCGTTGTTCATTGATCTGCCTGCCCGGTTCAAAAGCCTTGGCCACTGTTGTTGAACATTATCGACATACACAGTTCTCTTATTGCCTGATTGAACCAAACGGCTCTCGTGCAGATGAAGATCTGCCCTTCGAAATTTGAGCTTCTGGGTTTGACCCAAATGTCTGTACTCTCTCCGGCTGCAGATCCTGCACTGATCGGGATATCATTTGATGGCGACTAAGCTAGGGAAACTCCAAAGTAGAATGCCCAATGGCTGGTTGCCTTTGTTGTACGATAAGCATTGGTGTTGGCTGTCTCTTGCCATTGCAGATCTCAAAGTTCTTTTGTATAATTTACAGCCAACAGTGAGAAATCTATGACAGTTTTGCAGGGATACTCGTATGTAGCTTGGTGAAAAGGTAAATCCACTGGTGTAACAGCCCTTAGTGTTGCTCTTATGTATTTCTAAAGTCTCAGAATTGATTTGTTTTCGATATGAATAATACATCGATATCCAGTGACCTCTTGACTTTTCCTTGGAATTGAGCCTGATGATTCTTGAAGGATATCACTGATAACTGAGTTTTGATATAATGGATATCACTGACTAAACTGTTAATTACCATGCCCGCATTTTTGTGCGAACGCAGTAAAGCTTACTACTTTAGCTTTTACCATAACGACCCTCAGAGAAATAGATGGTTTCTCTTACTACATGTGATATAATTAATGCCCATCTCAAGGTTTAGTAAGAGACTGTCTTCACCAACTCTTGTTGATGATATGGTACTATATATAACCTGGAACTCAGAGGGAGTAAAAAATTGTAGAATTCAAATTGGAAAACAGCACTCTTTATATATTTGACTGTAAGTATTCATGTGTGCATTTAAACTCTCTTAGTTGTTGATTAACGGACTCCTTCAGAGCTTCATACTCTATATACAAGATACATTTAAACTGGATATAACCTAACTGATTTCAGCGTCAATGCATATCTGAGCTCCAGGCAAACTCAAATGTGGCTGAAGTCAACGCCATTAGACTTACATTGATGTCTTATTTCTGGAAATCATCATGGAAGATAAGTAATTTGCCACGAACAAGTGGGCCTTTTGACCAATCTGCTATCTTAAGATGCAGTACCACATGCTTGCTATATATTCAAGTATCAGTAGAAGGTGAAGACCAAGAATGAGATGTCAACCTCTTTTGCGCAGGCAAGATCAGAACAATGCTCCTCCATTGAAGATTGACACGGAGTTTGTGAAAATCTGGTACTTGAAAAATGATTCACTGGTACTCGATGTAGGAGTATGTTGTCAAGTCTTTGTAAGATTGTGGTAGAAGTAACTTGTTAATCGGATCAGACAATACCCTTTTCCTGTTTCTTGTGCTTGTTCAAATGTCTTTTACACTTATTGATGTTTGAAACTGCCTCATGTGTACTTAGTGCGCAGGATGTTGAGAGTTGCAGTGATGCCAAATATTTTTATGCAGCTGCTTATCCTTTGAATAAATCTGAAGAAAGTAAGAAAATGATTCGACAACTTGTTTGGGCTTGCTCAAACCAACATTTTCTGCTGGTATGAGTGTGTTGTTTATCAAACAAGACTGTTATTTGTTCGAAACTCACTGTCTCATTTGGGTAAACACTTGTGATGTATTTTTCTTTCTTGGAGATGCTCAAAAGGTGGAACAGGCATACCGCCTCTTAAGGTAATGCCTCATCATTCTCCCTTGATGTTTGATAAGGTACAAAGTCTTCGGCATTGTTTTACAGATAAAACTGTTTTTGAACAGCATTGGTTGCTCTTTCTTCCTAACATATGCATAAGACTTTTCTGCTCTACTTGTTTTCTGATTTCTATGATGTGACTTGCATAGTAGCAGTGTTTGGTTCATTGTATTGGCCGCATCCGCACTCTGTGCCCACCTTTTTCTTCTTTTAACCACCATAAAAGTCTTGTCAAAATTAGCTCATGTGTGCTTCAGAATTGATTTGGCATCCAGCTCTTGCTCTCTCTGACTTTCAGAAGCTTAGATTGAATTGTGGAGATTTCTTCTAGACAAGATGAAATCTTTATCATGCATATTGATTGAAGAGCTGGCTTACAGGTTCAGACTTTGTAGTTCGATCTTGCAGTAGTAATACTCGTTAGGGAAAAGAGAATTGCAGGTGCTGTACATAAGGAATCTTCTCCTGGATTCAGTTGTGCTAATACTGGTCATGCGACCATTATGGGTACCGGCTCGTAGCTCGTTGTGTCTCCGGTAACAGGATATTTTCCCTCCATTTTGGCTATCTTCCCTGGGAAATCATTGTTCTGAGATTTTCCTAGATATGCCCAGATGTAAGTTCTACTTACTGACACTAAAAAGTATTAACCATTGTTCGGTGTTCAGAAATTGCCTACACTATGCGCTTGCGTGTCGAATTGTTTCTTTTCGGGAGTGTTTTAATCTTTGAATCAAGAGGGTATCAACAAGAAGCAGCAATCAGTGTACAAAAAAGGAAACCTGCAGAAGTCTCAGCTGCAAGAAACCCTCTTTATTAGCAACAGCAGCAGGCAATCAAACAATAGTTAGCTTTGCCTCTGGAGGTTGTTTTAGCAATCTTACTATGAATTAGGCCTAGTAATCTAGCATGATTGCTTGTAGCTTTCTGGTACGACATTACTGAAAGTGCAGTGTCTGAGAAAGCACCAATCCACTACTCCTGGTGACTGTAAGAATCTAGGATAGATCGAATGACGTGATCGTGTTTTGATATATCCCACGTGTTCTAACACACATGTAGATCCCATGTTTCACGTGTGGTTTTTATGTCTACTGACTTCTGAAGACAATAGTCAAAAGTACATATCTTCTCTCTACTCCGTTTATTTTCTTCTTATTTTCTGTTGTGCTTATATTTTAATCAAATGTTTGCGTGAAATCCATGTCTGTCACAAATGACCAACTCAAAATTGGCTGGACAAAAAATCAGTATTTGGAGTAGCCGATTTGCATTACGAGAATCAAGACGTAATCCGGTCAAACAAGTTACCAACTACAATCATTTCCTTAAACAAACCCCAATTATACCCTAAACATTTGTGAAGGAATCAAGCAAAATCTGAAGGATTTCCATTGACAAGCTTTCTTTCTTAGTCACAAGATATTTTCTTTTTCATTATATCAATGTTGAGGCAATGAGTTGCCACAACTTATTAGTCTTTTCTATCAAAATCACCATTATATCCTCTATGTACACAAAACCCAGAAACCAAAAACCAAAGAGAAAAAAAAACTTGAAATCTTCTTCAAGAAGAGTGGAGAGGGGGAGAAGGAAGCGACCCGAAACATGAAATTTTTGTACAAAATGAAGAAATGTCATCAAGAACCATCAAAGTAATGACGACGAGGGAGACAAAGGAGATGATGCGAGCTCGGTGGGCACTACTGCTGCTGACTTACAGACTGGGCACCAGTTCTTCAGCCTCAACCATTGATGTATGCAGTTCAAATGATACTCGTGCTCACATCGTAACCGCCCCAGTTCATCTCCATCGCCATACTCCTCCTGTAATCGCAGAACAATCAATACGGCCACAACTTGACAAGAAAGAATATCCCAGATCTATGGTGGGAGTTCCTTGAAATGAAGCTCTAGTCTAGTTCATGACACATGGAAACAGTGGGGGAAATTCGATTCAGTCTCGACAACCAAGCATTTACATCTGAACCAATTCGCTTGTTACTCAAGTCAAATCCAGCATATTAGCAAACAAGGTAATTCCTACACCTATCTGGAAACAGACATGTTCAACTGGTCAAAACCTAAATTTCCCGCGATAGTTCTGCAGCAGTGTGCATGCAGTTTGGAAGCAAATTAATTAAATGGGATTAGAGGAGGTAAGGAAGTAACTGAGAGACACAGACCTGGCAAATGCTGCATTTAATATCCTCCCTATCCGCGCCAGGGTTCCTAGATGAGCGCTCCATGGATACCAACTGATAGATGCTAGTCTTCAGGCAATCTGACAATTCGTCCTCCTTCACTGCTGTGCTCACATTACCCATTCTCTCTTCCAAAGCTAACAATTCCTGACCACAATTGATACAAATAGAATAGCATCAGGAACTTGCTACATAAAACACAGGAAAATGACAGATGATCAAATAATTAACATAAACAGACCTCGTAAGACATGTTATCTATGTCCAGCCGCATATCACGGTGCTGGTCGTGGAAGTTCAGCCCGCTAAGGAACAAGTTGGTCTCCAGAACAAGCAATTGCTGCATAAATTATAAGAAATCAAGACAATGATGACCAACGAACTACTTAAATGAGTATTTCAAGTTGCCAACTAGCTGCCTGGCTACCTCATATGTGAGCTCTTCATCCTGTTCAATCCTCTCAAGTGCCAACAGTACCTGCACAAATTCATCAATTAGCAACATTGAAAAAAGAAAGCACATAACCAGGTAAATCAAAGCAATGTGGGCCAGCTACCTCAGCAACTCCATCCATGTTGTAGCGTCTGAAATTCTCCCTGTTTAGAAAGGATCTCATGTTGCTGATATCTGCAGTAGGACTAGATGGCCTAATACCCCTTGAACTTGCACTGCTGCTACCAGGTCGACTAAATGAAGGGTGACCTAGGGAAGGTTCCATTAAGAACTGATGTGATGAAGTAGTAGGGCTACTGAGGTCAATACTCATGTCATGCTGCGGAATTTGCGGGACCAAAGCATGCGCTTCAGTGAGAGATAAATTGTTTCTAGCCCCTTGAGGTCTATTGTAATTGAAACCAGTTACTGATCTTCTAGTCCTAACAGATGACACCGGATTATCCCTAATAGGAGGCACAGTTCTGGCTCTTCTAGAATCCGAAATGGAAATGCCTGAAGTAGGAGTAGAAATCCGCCCTTCTGGAAGTGAGTTAGCCATCTTTTTACCCCTGGCAGAGGAACTACTACTCTCTGCATGACAGACTCTTTTCTTCACTGGGTCCTTTCTTTTGTTAAGGCTCGAGTCTGAAGATGATGATGAACCTGAGACTACATCCGATACTGAATTGCACCTAAAATTTCTCAGACCATTCCTTCCCACATTTGAGCGTCTTCCTTGTACTGTGTTCTTCAGTGACAGTGAACTAGAAGAGCTTGCTAGAGTCTGTGGATGGCCTAATATTGACCTCTGATGAAAATCCCCATGGGACATAGTACTGGATGCTAAACTTGAGCTTCCTAGTTGTGCAGAGGAGGCCGTCTCACCGGTATGAGCTTCTAAAGAAGAGGACTGGTTACCCTTATGAATCTTTCTTGAGGGAGGTTCGAGTTCTGGAACATCAGGGTCATCCTGAATGCCACCACTCTCAGAAGAAGAATCAGGTTCTACCCGAGAAGACAATTTCTTCCGACATTCCGGCAACGTTTTCCTAGTGCTGATGGCTGAATAAGTCCTAGAGGAACTCCCAACAATTTCCTTGCCACTTGAGGAAGGACGAATGGATGCCCTTGAGGATTGGGGTTTGCCAGAAAAGTTAATTTGTGTAGAACCTTTTGCAGGGTTTAATCTGCCACTGCACCCTATCCGACTGCAGAACTGGCCATTCTTGTCTTTGTTATTGCCAGTGTCTCGTAGAACAAGCGAAGATCCTTTCCTGGAGACCAAGAGGCCATCAGGCCCTCTCTTACCAGAGTACTCATCCATGAATCACGTATTTCCTACAAAAAAGCGATCGATACAAAAAGAGTATTGTTCAGAGGAGCAGAACATCTTCCAAAAAGTTCCAACTTTCCAAATTTGGAAAAGACCACCCCTTATTATCAACCAGACGATCATGGAGCAGGAAACTTATACAGAACAAAAGAGAACCCAAATGATCATAATTCATAACATCATTCCAGCAAACCAGAAAAAAGCCATGACACCAGAACATTCATAACAACGGAATCAAAGGTTTCCAAGGGGAAGAAAAGCATATCCAAACAAAACCCACTAAAAATTCCAAATACCGGATACACATGACAAGGCGAGGAAACAGAAGGAAACTCTACTAAAAGGGTAAGCATCATCATCATCATCGTCATAAAACGTCCATATTCAATTCACAAAGTGGGACTGATTAAGACCTGGCTTCCGAACGACAATCGCATCGCGGTTGATCATACAAAGGAGCGGGAAACGAAAGGGGAAAAGGATGAACATGCAGCGAATGAAACGAAGGTCAAACTTCGCCTTACACCCAACAAAAAGGCAGCAAAGCGTCTCCGCTTTCGTAATTTAAGGGGTAGGAAGCGATTTTTTACTTTGCGAATTTCGCATTCAATTGTTCTCCACACGCTAAAAATACCACCTGTTTCCTCCGCCATTTCAGGCTCAATTTCAATTGGGAGTGACCGCAAACACAAACAAAAATAAATCAAGTTAAAAAAAATTAAATAAATAAATAAAAACGTCCCGGAGCTCTCCCCCGCCATATCTTCCAGAAACGCCCAAAACCGATTCCCCACCAATCTCCGTGTTCAGAATTTCCACGGAAATCCTCAGAGAAACTCCGCCTCCGCCGTGAGTTCATCGGAGAGAGGAAAACAAAACGGAAATGATCACAATCGCAGGTGTTAGTATTAGTAGCAGTACCTCGCGGCGGCGGCGGTCTCCTCCGTCGTCCAATAAACTGAGCGAGAAAAGAAAAAGAAGAGAGGGGAAGATTCAGCTCTCGCTCGTCTGTTGATTCAAAGACTGGCGACCTGCCTTTTTACAGGGGCCTTTGTTGCCTTCTTCTTCTTCACTTCTCTGGCAAGACGAAGAAGAAACAGAATAGAATTGGAATATAGAGAGAGAAAGAGTGCCGTCCCAAATACTAGCGTTAGAGCTAGAAATGAAAATGGGGAAAAAAAAAACAGACAACAACAATAAAACTGGGGGTGGGAAAGCCGAGCTGAGCTCAGCGAAGCGGTCTGTGGGCCGTCGGATGAGTGGAGTCAAGAATGGACGGCCCATGATCAATTATTACGTCATTCTTTAACTGTTTTCAACTTTTTTTTTTTGAAAAAGAAAATCATTTCCCGATCCTTTATTAAATTTTGTTTTTTTCCATCCTTTTTGTGGAGGGGGAAAAGAAAAGACTAAAAAAAGGAAAATGAACCAGTGGCTAACCAACCGCAGGCCAGCCTGCTTCCAATGGAACCTCTTACCCAACTTTGGCTAGGCACGCACTCCACCCACTCTCATGCAAGCTAGCTATGGTTCAATTTCGTGGTTAGGTTAAGCCAACTAGATTTTGATGGCTAGTTGTGGTCATCTACACTGGGGTGTGCAACCGTCCATATCGGACCGAATCAAATTTATGAGAATCGCGATCTAGTAGTAGGAGACTTTTTATGGACGAATGACCGGATCAACAGTGCATTCGGTTCACTTTGGTTCGGTCCAAATGTCACTCCAGTCCATTTTTTTTCTTTAGTGTTTATAAAATTCATTGTGCGAGAGACCGGATCATATTATACTCGGTTTGGTGCAGTCCGGTCCAAGCGCCGGTTTGGTCTGGTACAAAACGAACAGTTGCACACTCCTATTCTAGACGCTTGTCGAATTCGAACATAGAGACGCTGCTAGAGGTTCCATGGTGTTGATGGTGGTTGCAAATTGCAATTGCCAAAAGCTATTGGTGGAGGCGGGGAAGCTCCGGGAGTCTGAAGGAAGGAAGGACATGATTCTCGGACGATTTTTGGCTCTTCCTCTCGTAGGGAGGGCGACGGAGCCCGGGGAGGAGACGAATCGCTTTGGAAAGGGGATGAGACATAACTGTTATTATGAGCAGTAGTTACCAAACTACCATTCATGGGGTTATGTTAACATGATGTCAACATTTAAAGTGTTAGCACCATATCTGATCCCTTCAAACAGTTTTAGATAATGTAGTTCTTTTTCACCAATCGTAACAAGCCTAACTCTCTTAGGTGGGCTAATGTTGCCAGCTAATATGCATTTGGCGGATGTAATTGCCGTTTTAGTCGTGCTTCGATTCATGTACTTGTTACTGGCTCATTATTATCGCGATTGAAGATGAACGTCCTAATAAGTAAACGTTATATGAGTCGATGTCTATGCGGGTCAATAGGAGAGAATAATATGGTTAAGGAAGTAAACTGCAGAGCTATCATAGCTAATTGGCAAAAGCAACAGACTTTTTAATTTATGATGACGAATCAATTACAATTTACAATCAACTAATTAATTGATGGGACTGCCTTTTTTTTTAATGACACTGCTTAATGACTTTACACTTGTTGGAAAATGATAACAAGGTAGGCGAGTTGCTCGTGGAGTACTTTCCCTTACATTGTGTCTTCCTGGCAAAAAGGACACGACAAAAACCCACTACTAAACCGGCAATCTGGGCACTAACAATTAGTGTTAACAACAAGAAATCGAGAAAAAACAAAACAAAAGAAAGAAGTGCCGTTTTACCAACAACAACAACACTACCAATTTGTGATCCCACAATTTGGTGTGTCTTTTGATTTGTTTGATTGTATTGTGTTAATTGTTACTTAATTGGCTTGAACCAATTAATTAATCCACCATTTTGATTGACTAAAGAAACTTGTACACATAAGTATGTGGGACACAATTAATCTTGTTTAAGGAAGAACAAGGGACCATGTTACAGGTTGTCACTACTCACCAGTTCTTTGTAGTTGGGGGATGCATTAATTTGTTTATATGTCCAAAAAAAGTTCCATAATAAAAGGACCATAACTAATAATTAAGGAGATGGGCATGGGGTATTGCTCCTATTTGAATCCACAAATTAGGACTACAGAAACAATTATTATTTTGAGAATTTCACTTATTGTATTATTTAATATAGCATGCATAACAAATAGAAAATGTAAAAGTGAAAAGTGTCAAATGGGCAAAAGAAAATACCGAATATTTTTGGGTTTTAAGGGGTTAGGAACGTGTCGTATGGGCAAAGCCTAATCCAATATAAGCGGGGTGGGCCGTGGGCCCAAACGAATTAGGAAGTGACCGTGACCCGTATACCAAAACCAGCCTGACATTTCTTCCCCCTTCTTCTCATTACCAAAAAAATACAATGGATTCTACAAAAAAAAAAAAAAAAAAAATACAATGGAGACATGCTTATCCACCAAGGTTGTCAACCCGCGGGTTGACCCGGACCCAGTTGAGCTAGTGGGTTAAGGGTTAATGGGTCACCCGTTTTAGTCCGTTTTAGCCCGGAAATATGGAAAGCGTCACTATATTGTACTTATCCTGATAAATTATATATAATCTCATCTAACATATGAGTTATAACATATAATATTACACCAAAATAACATGTCGTACTTAGATTTAACATATAGTGAAAATTCACAGACACTTATATAACATTAATATTCAAATGTTCAACTTAGGATTCCAAAGATTAAGTTAGGCGAAAAGAAAAATCGAAAAATAGGCGCATTTCGCAAAACAAAAAAAAAGACACAATTTGACCTCCAACCCGGTACCTTGTAGCGGTCGACCCGATGAGTGCGTGCGTTCCGTTTTTCTCACCGGGTCAGGGTCAAAGTGGGTCAACCCGCGGGTTTAACATTGTTATCCACATTCCGCTATTCAATTTTGAGCTCTTTATTGGAGTTGGAAAACGAAATCGAGTTTGTAATTAATGATCCACTGAAACGGCGACTGGGACGTGAAGGATAGCTGCGTTTAACGTTTCCTACCTTAAATTCTGAATTCTTTTCAGCGGGCCATTCCTAAATTTCCCTATCCTTTTCGTTATTGTTTTGGTCCAACATAAATCTAGTTCCGTTTGTCCTAAATTCACCTTTTTATCGCCAAAAACTTCTATAATTTTTTCATTGGATTTTGGGTGTAAGTACGTGTGGGCATCGATCTGGTCCGGATCGAATTGGACAAAACTCAGAAAAACTATGGTCCAATAGCGAAAGATATCTTAGGATGAAGGACTCATCAATAGTACATTCGGTTCGCTTTGGTCTATTTGGTCAGGTCCTAATGTAAATTCGATTCATTTTTCTTCGGTATTTATGAAATTCATAGGACCAAAGACCGGACAATATAAAATTCGATTCGGAGTGATCCGGTCCAAACATCGATTCGGTCTGATGTGGTCCGGTATGGACCAACCCATTGCTCACCCTTAGGTATAAGATCAGCTGATTTCTTCTATTTATGTGTCAACACATGTCGCTCGGTAGATTATTTGAATTCAATCTATCAATACAGTCCAATACATTCTGTAAAAAAGTCAAAGTAATTGAATAAGTTTAAATCTAAATTCAATTGGATTTATGAATATTTGTAAAATTACAATTTAGTACTCATAAAATTGCAAGCCAATGCTCCCAATCCCATTGATTGTATTTGGGGTTTCTGGATCAAGCCAATAAATAGAAAATAAAAGATAGAACAAACAAGTTTGGCTTTAATTAGGGGTCTTTCTTTTTGGTTCTATCATTTTCTTGTGTAAGACAAGGTCAACATTTCCCCTGCAAAACCCTTTCCTTACCTTCTCCGGCCCTTTGCTAAATTTCACCCCGTCTTCTTCTTCTTCGTTCCCTGCCGTCCTCACAATCCAGAGAGAGAGAGAGAGAGAGAGAGAGAGAGAGAGAGATCATTGGTCCTTCTCTCTCGAAAGTAGAAACTACAAAAAACTACATAACTGTTTTTTGTCTTTGGTCCTGGTCTAGTCTCCATCCATCGCCATAGCTTCTTCATTCGGTTGTGACGTTTCTGCTGTCCTCCATTATTACCCTCCATTGCCAAATTCTCTACATTTACCGTCTGTTTTAACCACTTTTCGATTCCCCTCCACACTTCCTTCCTCTTCTCCTCATTCGCCGATCCATCTTCTCCAAAGGTACCGCCTTTTCTTATCTTAACTTCCCTTACATTTCTTTCATTGGGTTCCTCTGTTTCATGGAGGAAACCGCCATTAGAGATCATGAATTTGCAGCTTGTTCTTGCAACATACTGCTATCATGCATTCAAAATGGGAATGTATGAATCCATGAAGAAGGAAGAAAAAGAAGTTTAGTTTTATGCCTTTGTAATTTGATCCTACTTCTTCTCCGTCCCCCTGTTTCCGTTTTGTTCCGATTGCAGGATTATTCCGTCTTCTATCCTTCTCCGGCCACTTACATTGGGTAACTGATGGCGACGAAGCCCAAGGAGACCACTCCAAAGAAGGATGGCGGCAACAACAAGAAGGTTATAACAACCACAACAACCACCACCACTACCACAAATCGGAACTTCCACCGCCAACAGAGTAGCACCGCCGCTGCGAACCGCCACTCCCCATCTTCCTCCTCGCCGACGGCGGCGACAACAACAAACTCCTCCCCGCGATCCGGCCCAAGCTACCTGAGGCCCACGGCGAGCTCCAAGCCCGACTCCCAATCCAAAGCCACAGCCGGCTCCAAAACCAGCACAACCAAGCCAACCGACCAGAAGGCCGCCGCCGCCGCCGCGGCAGCGACCCTTCGAAGGAGATCGTTCGACAAGCCCGCTCCTTCCGCCGTCAATTCCCGTCTGCAGAGGTCCGTCACTTCTCCCGATCCCGCCGCCCGCTCACCCGCCCCGGTCAGGACTACCTCTTTTAGCCCCAAAACCGCCGGAGCCTCCTCCAGGGCCAATTTCCAGAGAAGCGCCACCACACTCCGACCCAATGCGAGCAAAACCATCGCCGCCGTCGTGGCGGCGACCGCCAAGCAAAGAAGCGGCAGCCCTGCCAGGGGCAGAGCAGTACTTAATCCCAACACCACCACCACCGCCGCCGCGACTAGTCGCGGCGGCGGTGGTGGTGTTGGCAAAAGTACCGGCGCAGGGAACCTTAGAGGTAAAAACAGAGCAACCACTGCTGGCCGCGGCGGCAAGGCGACGACGGCGGCGCGGGGGAAGTCATCAGGCGCCGGTAAGCGGAACAATACTAATAAAGAGGATGTAAAAGAGAGTTTGGATAACGAGATACATCAGGTGAGCGAAGATGAGCAGGGCGTCAATCCTGACAATTTGGAGATCGAGTCTCCGGCGAGCCCCCACATTCCCAAATCACCATCACCACTTCCATCGTCGCTTGAAAAAATCATTACTAGCGTCGATGATGATCACGTTGATGAAGTCCCTTCCAAGGAATACGATGTTGTCATCGACAATGTGAATAACCAGGAGGGAAAAGATGACGGTGAGAAGGTCTTCTCTTCCGGTGATACTCCGGCGGCAGAGGAACGAAAAGGTTTAGATGAGAAGGTAGAAGTGCTCAGTGATCGCCAAGTTGCAGCGGCCGACGAGAAAGGTGAGAGGGAGATCGCCATGACTACTGCTACTACTACTACTTCTCAAAATGGCCACGAAGATAATCATAATCATGATAAAGTGGATGACAATGGAGATGACAGTGAGACGTTGCCCAAAGAAGAACTAAAGCTGGCTGATGCTGCCGCCGATGATCAAGAACCAGGTGGTGTCAATGGGGAATATGAGGAGAGGGAGAAGGGACAGGAGGCACCTGAAGAAGAAGCAGTTGATCAGGAAGAGACAAAGGCCATGATGGCGGCGAATGATGATGACGAGAAGAAGAGAGAAGGAGAAAGCGGGAAGGCTATGGAGGGGAAGAATGATTCTCCGGCCGCGGCTTACAATGAGGTGATCGAGGAGACGAAGAACAAGCTGATGGAGAAGAGGAAGAACAAGGTGAAGGCGTTGGTGGGTGCTTTTCAGACTGTTATCGACTACGAATCTGCTGGCACTGCGACTTCTCCTTCGAAGTCGAGCTAATTAATCAACTAACACTAGCTGCTGAACTTCTTCTTCTTCTATCTTTGTCCATGCATCTCAACGAACTCGTAACTGAGGATACTATACTGTTCATATCCTCCATTTATAATGTTAGTGATTTTCATCCATTTCCTTTATCTCCTCCTATACGAAATGGAGAATCAATGGATCCATCTGTATATTGTATAACCAACTTAATACAATCAGTTAATATCAATGCAAGTTTGAGAAGATTATGATCAATGGGGTGCGTCCAAAGCTCCATGACGCGACGAGGGTATGCAACGCAGAAGGGTCCTTCCTTCTGGGTTAAGGCATAAGTTTCCAGGACCTCGAAAACCGGCAGGTCATTGATGATCTTACAGTGCAAGCACCATGAATTACAGGAACAAAGAAACAAATCTGCCTCACAGAGTACAACTGGGTACTGGGTAAAAACAGAACCTTCTAAGCGGGGGTATCAAACTGTGTAACCTACCTAGCTCATTGCTCTTTCGTATAACCAGAACGAAAGAAGAGCAAATCCTCAAGCTTGGATTTAACAGGGAAAAGACAGTGGACAATGCGTGCGGATCACATTCTTCTTTGTCAACCCCCAAGGATACACATAGCCGCAATCAAGCAGCAGCATCTTTCTTCGAAACAGCAATTACGTTGAAGTTGAGGGAGTCGGGGTTCTTCTGGATCATGCCCTTAATGACTTTAGCTGCATCCTGTCGTTTGCAAAATGGATGAAAGGCAGCGTTATCAGGAGTCACAATGATGAAAGTGCATCATGCTAGTGTATACAGGCTTTATATGTCTGTGTATTGAATTCGATAACTCTGCCCTAAGTGCAGATATTTCAAATCAATAGCTAAATAACTGAAAGAATGCAGCATAGACCAGAATAAACCATCCAAAGAAAACACTAAACTGATCATTTCACAATCCACCTTTTCAAGCTTCTCTGTAATCCTTACTAATGCGTAATAACCATCTCGAGACAGTGGATATCTGTTTAACCGAGAGACAAGATCCCCTGTCGTTCTGTTGACAACTACGTGAACAAAGATATGGGAAAAATGAACTCAAAAGACAAACCTGCAACAAGCTTTCCGGTGAAGATGAGCCATGTAATACAGGTCCTGCTTTTCTGCCGTCAAGCTCATAGAGTTCCCCTGTATAACACAGAACTGGGGATTAAGCAGGCTGCTTGGGTAAGTATGGTAGCAGCAACGCCACATGTGCTTTGTCGTTTGATGTCAGTATCCAATATAATTGTTCTATGTTCTACATCTAAAATTGTATAAAAATGCTAGAAGTGTTCATTACCATCCACACAGGCAAAGCAGATAAAATGAGTGTCCACATTGTCTGATGCCTGCACAAAGCAAAGTAGGCAGGTAAAGAGGATAATCACTTTAAACGTGAAGTCTGCTTCCCGAGATTTATCTCTCCGTATTAGCCAATGAAATCCCTCCATGGATTTGCATATTAACATCCCACCAATGCTAAATTAACATAATGGAAACATCAAGTCTTACCTCGGTTTCACCACCTGTAGCAGCTACAGAATGGGCAGTTTCCATTTCTCGATCGTTCTCCAGGAATTTTGCACGCTATAGAGAGTATATGAAACTGATATTAATAAACAAGCTATAGTCAAAGCAGAAAAGCCTTTTTGAACATTAAACATCTAATTTATCCTTGATAACTGGAGGGAGAGAATGAACAAGTGTAGAAAGGGATAAACAACGCTGAGTGAGGAAAAGTGAAAACCTCTAATGGGTCCATGTTAGCTGTTGATTTGAAGAATCGGTCCAAGAATGATCCCTCAGCTGAAAAGAAATTAAAATGCTGAAAGTCAACAGAACTCGATTTTGCAAGGGTGAAATTTTAGAAACTTGCTGTGCCAAGTAGAAAAACAATCTAAGGATATGGTGAGTAATACTAATACCACATGGTTTTTCTCAGGTAAAACACATGTTTATACCATGATGGTATAGGTTTATGAATTTTGTTTTTGCTTTGCTTTTAGGTAGACCAGAGTTCGTTTATATCACCTACATCACAGTATCAAGCACTAATTTCTAGGTCAAGTTTGTTCATATAACTCCTAAGGTCTAGTATGCTTTAATTTCGTGTTCTATGCAGCTTCAAGAACCCCACAGTACTCTCATCTCAGGAAAGGACAATGGCAAGAGAATATAATTAATCATCTAGTAGAACGTGAACCAACTAGCCAGTATAGTTTACTCATTACTACTACCACCTCACTTTTACCATTGCTTGGCTTCCCGAAGAAAGAAGCAGATGGCGGCAATGTATAGAATTCGATGTCAGGGTATAGAATTGAGCTATGACACACTATTATAGTTGGAACAAAGTAATGTCAAATACATAGGAAAAAGATTGACCAACTTACACAAATGGAGCTTTGACTTGATGTTCCCAACGGCATGAAGAAGGCCAATTGTTCCACAGGCATTACCAACAGTTTGTTTCATGAAATAAACGTTTCCATTAGGTTCCTACATCAGACAATATGGAGAACATATGAGGATCTTACCTTGACATAACAAACTTTAAACAGATAAAAAGAATGATGTAGCCCTTGCAAGTACATACCATAAAGAAATTACTTCAGGTTCATTCAATTGTTAGTCAAGACAATTTGTGTATAATTTGCAGACAAGACAATTGGAAATTTTGTGGGCTGTGCATTATTCATCACAGTAGATTCTACTGAACTTGCCGAAAACCAATCATATGCTTAAAACATAAGCTAAATCAACTCAAACACATTATGAGAGCCCAGATATAAATGGACAAAGACAACTATTTGGAAGTGGGAAAGCTGGGCCTTTGCACAGCACAAGCCATAAACGGACAAGTTCTACACCTATGATTTTATCATGAACACTTAATAAATAATGAATAGAACTCAAATTTCACATTTGGATGGTAGTGTTATTCAAAGTTGTAACATATAGAGTCATACCATCACTTCAAACTGATGAAAAAAAGTATGCAGATCAACACACATAACTGATACCATAGAAACTTCAATGATTGTAAAAAAAAAGCATAAGCATCATTTCAATATGATACAGTGAATTTTTTCATTGTTGAATATGAGTGTAACTCATCAATATTTTGTAAAAAAAGTATTTAACGGTACGTACCTTCACAACACCTTCCTGCTGCAGTCTCTCCTGTTCATTCTGGAAAAGAAAAAATAAAACCAAGCTCTCCAACATCAGCATAGTAAGTACAGTCTCATCACCATCATCAAAACTGGTTCTAGCCCCACACAACTCACCAACCAAAATGCATAAACCCAAATTACTAAACTATCTAAGCAACTAAACTCCAATTTTCGTAATAGAACTAGCAGGGAAGTCACCAACAAATGGCCAGAGAACCGAGAAGAATGCTAAATCAAACGCACCTGTGCAGTTAGCGGGTAGAGGAAGATAACTGCAAGCACAGGCTGTGGAACCATAGCCAAGAGTTCCTCGTCCAAGCCATAAACATCAACACACTCCGCCTCATTCTCGGGAAGGCCTAGCCCCCAAAGGAACTGAAACAAATAGAACACAAACAATTTTTTAAACTTCTTAAACTCTTGCACATAAAACAAACTCCTCCATCACGTGCAACACTATTTCCTTCTATGAAGAGCATACAGGAACAGTAATCTCTTGTCGCAAGCAATTAGATTACAGCACTTAGTTCAAGTGACCAGCCTTACGATTTTAAACAAGACGAAGGAGCTAACTCCGCCATTGATTATCAAACAACAAGACGATGCAATTCAAGGTTAAGTGAAAGCCAAGGCCTCCAGTTCTCATCAAATCATCGCAGCATCCAGTTAAGCTAGCCATCGCGCGAAACGAAAACTGGAAGATGAATGGTTCCCGTGTACATACCTGGTTCATAACATCAGGATTAGCTTCTAGAGGAAGCCACCGTTTAGCAGAGGGACTTTCGTCTAAGGTCGCCATTTTCGAATAAAGACGAGAGGCGAGCAAAACCAGAGAAAACTACAGAAGAGAATTAAGGCATTAGGTTCGGATGTGGAAGAAGAAACGCTATCGGTGAGTGTTGTACTAGATCATACATAGATACTTTGCTTGATAGGAATATACAAAGAGTTAGAGATTGAGAGATTTTGATGAGAGAAACGATGTCAGTTCAAATAGATTGAGTATCACACCGTTTCTGGGAAAGGAGGAAGGCAAACCTGCCGACGGACGAGCGAAGCTGGCTGATGACGGGAAACGGCGACTGAGACTGAGAGCTGTGGCGAAAAAGCCGATGAGTTCTTTCGAGAAGGTAGAACTAGACAACTGAATCTTTATATTTACCTTTTATTTTTTTTTAAGTTATTTTCGTAGATATTCAGAATTTAAGATAGGTACGACCAAACGGCCGAACCCACCATTGAACCGGAACAACGATTGCGAATTAGACCGGGTTGATTTTGGAGTATGGTTGTCAAATCAGTGGCATACTGGCAGACACAATGGAAAAACCGATATGGGACACAAACTGATTGGAAAAACCCATATGAAAAAGCAGTCAAAATAGGTAAAAGTTTATCGAAGCTGATCAAAATCAGGAAAATTAATGGTCCGACTAGAAAGATTAATTAACAAAAATGGGATTTTTTTTTGGGTTCATCATGTATAAACATTGGATATTGCGTTATCTGTCATTTTGTTTGTAATATGGATATAGATTATAGAAAGATATCTTCAAGTTAAAACTGACATATACATGTGTTAGTGATTTCTCGTTTTACTAACATATTTTGTTAAAACAGATTTATAAATTGATTGTACTCTGATCAGATCATACTGTTTGTGAAAACTTGTATGGCAATTTAAATTGATTTGCCAATGTTGGTCGAGTGTGTTACATTGGGTTGTTAAAACAGATATATAAATTGATTGTACTCCGATCAGATCACATGCCGTTTGCGAAAATGACAATTTAAATTGATTTAACAATGTTGGTCGAGTGTGTTATATTTGGGTTGGGTCACTAGCCCAAAATCAAACCCTCTTATAGATTAGTGAGTAGTCCGCTTCCCACATTTCTCCCTTCCCCAGGGTCCAATCCAGCGCATCAGTATTTTACAGTTGCGACTTCTAACTCGTAGGGTCGTCTTCTTCCCTCCTATTTCCAATCCTTCTCTCGCACATGAGATCTTGGATCTGAGAAAACCTTACACCACAGTGAACACAGGCCACTGGGCGTTCGTTTCTTCAACTCATATCCACTCTTAGCTTGTGAACATCTTCGCTTCCTTCGCCTTCTTCTCCGATCCGATCTCCCGCAAGGTTCGTTTCGTCTATTTCTCTTCCCCAATTCCCTGGATCTGTTTGTATTTTCGGTAATTCCTCGGTACGCATTGCTGTTTCTGCGCATTTTGTTTGGTTGCTTGGTATACGAGATGATGGATTTGGATTTTGAATTGGATTGTCGGGGGTGCAATCTTTTTGGGAGGAGAAACGTTTTATCTTATGGGAATTCAGTGTCGAACGCCGTTGCTCGGGTGTTTTCTAATGGCTGTTATTGGGGAGTAAGCGCAGTGATCTGTGTGGTTTGAATTCTCCGGCGTGATCTGTTAACATGTTACTTCAGAAGGGCGCATTCCAGTTCTTTTCTTATAAGCAATAGTGAATTTCTTCCTCGGAGCTGATTCTATTCAGTCCTATGTTAGGCTTCTGCTTCTGAATTCAAAGGTTTATAGATTTGAATGGTTTAGCAAAACTGAAAGGGCTTGATGTTGCTTGGTAATTGTAGTATATTGATATACTCAGTGAGTATAATGAGTATTTGGTCTATAAAAACTTCTGTTGTTACATGACTTTGTATAGTATTTGCATCCATACTGTTTCTGTGATTCTTGAGAGCATTTCTCATGATGCTCTCGATTTGGTTAAGCTAACATGGGTTTTCTGGAATTAACCAGAGAGGAAGTGCGAGATGGAGAAATCGTGTTCTCTGCTTGTGCACTTTGACAAAGGGACTCCAGCAATTGCAAATGAGATTAAGGAAGCCTTGGAAGGCAATGATGTTACAGCAAAAGTGGACGCCATGAAGAAAGCAATCAGCCTTCTATTGAATGGAGAAACCCTACCCCAGCTTTTCATCACGATCCTCAGATATGTTTTGCCTTCTGAGGATCACACGATCCAAAAGCTCCTCCTTTTATACTTGGAGATTATCGATAAAAAAGATGCTTCTGGGAAGCTTCTGCCGGAGATGATCCTGATCTGCCAAAATTTGAGGAACAATCTTCAACACCCAAATGAATATATCCGTGGGGTCACTTTGAGGTTTCTGTGCCGCCTCAACGAGACAGAAATTATCGAGCCGTTGATCCCTTCGGTATTGCAAAATCTGGAGCATAGACATCCATTTATAAGAAGGAATGCTATCTTCACCGTGATGTCTATTTATAAGCTTCCCCAGGGTGATCAGCTTTTGGTTGATGCTCCTGAAATGATTGAAAAGGTTCTTTCATCAGAGCACGATCCATCAGCTAAACGTAATGCATTCCTCATGCTCTTTACCTGTGACCAGGATCGAGCTGTTAAGTATCTATTTGAACACATTGATAAGATCTCTGAATGGGCTGAGCAGCTTCAGATGGTTGTTTTGGAGTTGATTCGTAAAGTTTGTAGAACAAATAGATTGGAGAAGGGGAAATACATAAAGATAATCATATCTTTGTTGAATGCCACTTCCAGTGCAGTGGTTTATGAGTGTGCTGGAACACTTGTCTCTCTATCATCTGCACCTACTGCAATTAAAGCTGCTGCCAACACATATGGCCAGCTCCTTCTATCTCAGAGCGACAACAACGTCAAGCTTATTGTTCTTGATCGACTGAGTGAGCTCAAATCTTCTCACAGGGAAATTATGGTTGATATGGTCATGGATGTACTTAGGGCTCTCTCTAGCCCCAATGTTGATATACGCCGTAAGACCCTTGATATTATCCTTGACTTGATAACCCCCAGGAATGTTAATGAAGTTGTTCTCATGTTGAAGAAGGAAGTTGTGAAGACCCAGAGTGGAGAGCTTGAGAAGAATGGTGAATACAGGCAGATGCTCATCCAAGCCATCCATTCTTGTGCTATTAAGTTCCCAGAGGTTGCAAGCACGGTGGTTCATCTTTTGATGGATTTCCTAGGAGATAGCAATGTTGCTTCAGCTGTTGATGTGGTTGTTTTTGTCAGAGAGATCATTGAGACTAACCCAAAACTGAGAGTTTCAATAATAACAAGGCTCTTGGATACTTTCTACCAGATCCGAGCTGCTAGGGTATGTGTTTGTGCTCTGTGGATCATAGGTGAGTATTGTCTTTCTCTTTCCGAAGTTGAGAGCGGTTTAGCAACCATCAAGCAGTGTCTCGGAGAACTGCCCTTCTTCTCTGTTTCTGAAGAAGGGGAAGTTTCTGATGGTTCCAAGAAGCCTCCACAAGCTAATTCCATCACAGTGTCTTCAAGAAGGCCTGCTATCCTTGCTGATGGGACTTATGCGACACAGAATGCTGCCTCTGAAACTGCCTTTTCCCCTCCTACTATTGTTCAGGGTTCATTGTCCTCTGGAAATCTGAGATCACTTCTTCTCACTGGTGATTTTTTTCTTGGAGCAGTTGTGGCTTGCACTCTAACGAAATTAGTGCTGCGATTGGAAGAGGTCCAATCTTCTAAGTTGGAGGTGAATAAAGCATCTACACAGGCTTTGTTGATTATGGTCTCGATGCTACAATTGGGACAATCTTCTGTTCTTCCGCACCCAATTGATAGTGATTCGTATGATAGGATGCTTCTCTGCATAAGGTTGCTGTGCAATACTGGTGATGACATCCGGAAAATATGGTTGAAGTCATGCCGTCAAAGTTTTATGAAAATGCTTTCAGAGAAGCAGTTGAGAGAGACTGAGGAATTGAAGGCAAAGGCTCAGGTTTCTCATGCCCAACCAGATGATCTGATTGACTTCTACCATTTGAAGAGCCGGAAGGTAAGAACCTCGGAGAAGCAGTTGAGAGAGACTGGGTTCCATTGCTATGTTTATCTTTGTATCAAATGCTAGCTCTGTATGATTCAGAGGTCGAGTTGGACAGTTCCCACACTTTTAGGTTGTCATTGAGCATCTAGATCGATCAATCTGAAGACAATAATTGTGTGGTCTATCACTTGTTTTTCAATCTTCGTTTTTGCATCTTATCTTGTTTTGTTATATATTTTTTCTTCTATCCTAGTTGCTAAAGGTCAGAAGTACTGTTTGTTGGCTTTGACTCAAATTAGGGCATGAGTCAGCTGGAGTTGGAAGATGAAGTTCAAGACGATTTGAAACGTGCAACTGGGGAGTTTATCAAGGATGGCAATGATGCAAACAAGCTTAACCGCATCCTTCAACTCACTGGATTTAGTGACCCTGTGTATGCTGAAGCATATGTGACAGTTCATCACTATGATATTGTACTTGATGTCACTGTCATCAACAGGACAAAGGAAACTCTCCAAAACTTATGCTTGGAGTTGGCCACCATGGGTGATCTTAAACTAGTCGAGCGCCCTCAGAATTATGCATTGGCTCCAGAATCAAGCAAACAGATTAAGGCTAACATCAAAGTCTCTTCAACTGAGACTGGAGTGATATTTGGTAACATTGTTTATGAGACATCAAATGTGCTCGAAAGAAATGTTGTCGTCCTCAATGATATCCACATCGATATCATGGATTACATTTCTCCTGCGTATTGTACCGATTCAGCATTTAGAACAATGTGGGCAGAGTTTGAATGGGAGAACAAGGTACCCCTCTAAAATCATTTTTTGGTTGAAGTTATTATGATTATCAGTTCAAACACTTCATTCACCTGCCTTCAGTATGTACATTTGTTAAGATGGGAAGTAGTCATCCGAAGTGTGATATGTTGGTTTTACAATCTGGTCTCTGCTTTGTCAGGTTGCTGTTAACACAACAATTCAGAATGAGAAGGAATTCCTGGACCATATCATTACCTCAACAAACATGAAGTGCCTCACTGCACCGTAAGTTTCTTGTATTAGCCTCTTCCCTTGTCATGCTTGTTCAACTTACGACAAGTATCCAACTAACCTAAGCTCTCATTTCAGGTCTGCACTGGATGGAGAGTGTGGATTCCTAGCAGCCAACTTGTACGCCAAGAGCGTGTTTGGCGAGGACGCATTGGTAAACGTGAGTCTCGAGAAGCAGGGAGATGGGAAGCTCAGCGGGTACATTAGGATACGTAGCAAGACCCAGGGAATCGCACTCAGCCTGGGCGATAAAATCACTCTAAAGCAGAAGGGTGGTAGTTGATGTGGATGAATCATGTCTTTTTGTATCAAAATTATACAGGTGAACTCTCTAATACCCCCATCAGTTACCTCTTGCTAATTACCAAGCGATCTCTTTATCCGAAGTCCTTTTTCGAGCGACGAGCATGAATTCGTGTGTTTCAGGTAACTTGGGGGTTATTTCAAGCTGGAAGATTGTCTCTGCGCGATATTTTGTTGTTTCTCATTTGTATGTAATTTGAGGGGTAGCGGGTTTCTTTGTTTTTGGAGCCTGTGTACGGGTCAGGCAAAGTTGTTGAACATTGGGGGCTTAGAATTTGCGGCATTTTTTCATGTTGAAACTTCAAACAGAGAGTACCATTTTCTTGTTTGCGTTTGGTTAATCTTTCTTGTTAGTGTATTAAAATTAAGCTAGCTTTGTAGTTCAATTACGGGCGAATCCATTCGATAATTCTTTGGCAGTTGATCTTGATGAGCTGTGGTTACCCTGGTTGCTAATGTATCATCAAACAAGAAAACCAGAGAGCAGAGACCACTGGAGCTCGAACTTGAGGAAGCCGAAGAGCATATCGACCAGCTAAATGTTCGTCCGACGCCCAAACCAGTCTCTACCTCACCGTTGCAAGAGAATCGCATTGCAAATGTGTCGTGTTCGTCCTATGAATCTTTAGCACAGAATCGAAGAGAGGCCAAATAAGCAAAATATCATATTCCATTCTTCCAAAGAACTAGGAAACAATTCCGGAGCTCGAACGTAATTCGATTTAGAGCAGACCAGAATGAGCACGACTAGTCTGAATCAATCCACAACTCGAATTTGTATCTGCCATTGCATTGATGTCGCCGAAAATGTAACAAAAAAAAAAAATTCCATCCTCGCTTCACTTGCAGAGCTTGAGCTTCTTGAAAAACGAAGCCACCTGGGATTTAGGGTAAGGCTTGGTAGCAATGCAGGTGGGAATGTTCTCCGGCTGTTCAATCCACAGCTTGTGAGCAATCCCTCCACCTCTCAGCTTCTCCGCCAGATTCAACATCTGCGTTTCCCCTTTCACCTCCAACGTCACCTGCCAGCGAGAGATCGTCGTCTCAATTACAGATCGCCTAAAAGATTCCGAAGAAGAGACAGAACTCAACAGCCATTATTAATCAGCGCACCTTGTGCATAGAATCGATGTTCTCCGGCCCGCAGTACCGGACAGTTTCGGCGTCGTCCCTGTGGGACCAGATGGCCGCCACGGCGGCGTGGCATCCCTGCGTCACCACGCTTCCCATCGGCCACGTATCGATCAGGTCTCGCCGCAGCACCACGTACTGGACTATCACTTCCTCGCCGCCGCCGCCGGCGTTCTTCGCCGGATCTGAATCCGCCATCTCCGGAGTTGTAGTGGTGCTCATTGACTTCGATCGGAGAGTGAGGCGGATAGGAAGGAGATGGAGATTGGCAGCCCGAGGTTTTGTTGTCGAGGAGTGGAGAAAGTGGCGGCGAGTGAGAGAAGCTGCCTGTAAACGACAAGGCAAGAACAGCAGCAACTCAGTCGCCATTGATCGATTCTTTCCTTTTTCTCCTTTTTCTTTTTGGGGGAAGTTTGGATTGGGTTTGAGAAGACGACCGGCTCGATGCAGGCTTCTCGATATACCGGATGGGCTTACGGGCCCGATGTTGGGCCGGCATATCTGTTCATTATACCACTCCGGTACAAATTCTTTGAAAGCCCATGATATCGTAATTCTACGATTTCATCCTATTGGTTCCACGTGGCTAAGTCCAGTTGGTAGTAGACGATTTGTTTTGGTTTGGTTTGGTATATGCTTGTTTGGGAAGAAAAGGTATGTAACATGTTGGACACGTTCAAGGATAAAACGGTCAATCTCCATTCATAGACAAAAAGGGTTGTCAATTGTGATTGTCAAAACCCAAAAGCAACCCTTAGTGGGCCAAGGGCCCAATCGGACGTGTCCAAAATGAACATCCACGTCATGATGACACAACGTTTTTTTCTTTTTTCTTTTGTGCGAGTGTGAAAGGTGACCATTTTCAAGATTTTATAATTCTCCTTCCTCGAAATCATAATCTGAAAGGATGAAGAGATAAGATATAAGATGGGTTGGTCTTCACATTTAATTATTGTCGTTAGCTGGCTGGCACGCAATTACTATAACACATTATCCTCTCCTTTAATCCATTTTCCTTTTTCTTAATTACCACCGGAAGGAAGGAAAAATTCTATACAGTCTAGCTCCGCATCTTTGACCATTTCAAGAAGGGCATAATTATTAAAATCACAATTATGGATAAAGATAAAACACACAAACAAATAAAGTAATAATATATACGCAGAGGAAGCTTGCATTTATCTGTACAAAGAAACGGAAATAATAAAGCGACAACAATTTTATTATTTTATATTAATAATCCCCAGCCGAGCTCAAAGGGTAATTAGTACTTTACTAATTAACAAATTCATGAAAAAGGAAATTACGGATCTTCACCGCCGAGGCGGCAGATTGATGATCTCTCGCTGCCGCCGTTGCTGCTCTTGCAGATCTGTAAGCGAGAAGCAGCTATGAGACTTGAAGCTGTTGTTGAATTTCCTCTCCTGCAGCAGCTTCCTCTGCGCTCGTCTCCCATCCTCTTCATCCTTGTCCGACGACGAGGACGACGAGGGGCTTTCGCGGCGGTCTCCTTCCTCTTCGTCGTCTTCTTCGTTCCCCCGGCGGCGATTGTGGTCGCCGCTTTCGTCGTCGTCGTCTTCGTTCAAGGTGAGCAGCGGCATGGATTTGGGGTTATGCCAGCTGTAGAACGACGATCTCCTCGACCATTTGTTCGCCATCAGAATTCTCCTCCGCTTGTTGAACGGGTGCTCCGGCTTCTCCAGATCCTTCGCTTGGCTCACCGCCAAGCACGCATCGGACAAGCTCGCGAACGACTTCGATTTCCCGGCGAAGTAATTCGATAATCCCTTCCTGCAATTTTGAGAAATCAAAATCACCCCACCCCAATTAATAATCGGGTAGTAGAGAGATCCGAATCCAAATCGAGCAGGAGCACAAACTCACTTTGTGGGGAGAGAGTCCTCCAGGGCGTCCATGGATCCGAGAGAGCCGATGCCTTTCTTCATAGACGACGAGGCACCGCTGCTGCTATTGCTCTCTCCGTCGTCTTCCTCTTCCTCGTCGCTGTCGTCGGGAGCGCCGACGGATGAAGACGAGCTATCGGAAGAATCTTCGAGCGATTTCCCAGATCTAGCCATCGGAAGGCCCAAACGACTGCGATTGGAGATCGAGATCGAACCCACTAACCCATCCTCGTCTTCTTCTCCCTCCACAACGGACGAAACCCTATGCTTCAGAAACAACCGCTGGGTCTCCGGCTGGGAGAGGGAGTAAGCCGCCGCCGCAGCCGCCTGAGGAGGAGAAACGTCGATGGTGAAGGTAGGACCGACAAGGATATCCATGTGATAGTCAGGAAGGCAGCCTTATCCTTCGCTTCTCTTTTCTATTTTTTTCAGACGACCAAAAAATAGAGAAGGTAAAGTTCACCAATGATAGAGATGAGAGAAGATCCGAGAGAGACTGAAACGGATCGGCGTTCAAGTAACCGCTCCTTTGGCTCGCCGGAGCTCTACCCTCCTGACCTTTCCGGTGTTGGTGTCCGTCTTCCAGAGAGGCTTCGTTGTCATCAATCGGAGGAGAGATTGAGAGTACAGGGAGGAACAGAAGGGAAAGGGGGAAAAAGGAAGAAATTTTTGACAGATTGGAGGGGAAAGTAAACAAAGGAGTTATCCGCTTATTCCATTGGAGTGAGAAAGGAGAAGATAGAGAGCTTTTTTAAAGAGAGAAACCATAAAATAGATGGATGAGAAGGAGAGAGAGTGGGAAAGGAAAGAGAAAAGACAACTCCCACAATACAAAAAAGGCGAGAAATTTATTATTTTAATTTTGGGGGAAAAGGTTTTTTTATATATATACGGTGGGAGATAAGTATGTAGCTGATAAGATACTGTATACGAATACGTACATGGGCAGTATGGATTACGGGATAGGGGGAGGGGTGTTCATGAAACAGTACAGGATATCGTATCGGAAAAGTCAACAATATGATATTTTATGATAAAATTGTGGTTTAATCGTAGTTCAATCGATAGACCGTTAAATATTATTTACCGGTTTAACCTTTAGTACTGGTCGTGGTTGAACTGTCAATACGGTACGGTTTCAAGGACCATGGTCAGAATTAGTTAATTAATTAACGAAAATTAAAGGAGGTGGAGATGGGGTTACGACTTATGATTAGATTAGATTGGTCGATTATGAGTTTTGAAGAGAAGGATTAGGAGTTATGACTTTGTTAAGGTTTAATTTTTTTTGGGTATTTTTTATCCAAATCTTTTTCAGATTTTTTTTATATTATCAAAACCTATCGAAATACTAAGAATTAGCCAAATGCTAACTTCCAATTAGCAATTTTGTTAGTAATATTGACTTGGCAACATGATACTAACTTGGAAGAGACACATGAAGGCCGAAATTCCAAAATTTTAGCATTTTGACTAAGAAAATGAGTTACAAAATTATTAACGATAACATAAAAATGACTAATATTTTGACGAATTACGAAAGATTTGACTAATTAATAACATTTTAATAGGTTTGAACAATATAAAAAAATATGAAAAAGATTTGAATAAAAAATAGACATTACCTTTTTTTCCCTCTTCTTCCTGGTTAATATTTATTTTTCTCTGAAGCTATTGTAATTTTCTTATTTAATAAATATTTTTTGGTACACATTTAATAATAAATAAATAAACAGGCTTAGAATGTAAAAGAGATTAAAAAGTTGGGCCTTAAAACGTATGGCCCTAGATGGATTCTCTCAGCCCATCTTTAGATGAAAATTGGAGCCTATATTTTCTGCTTCTTATGAGCTCATTTGACGTTTCATTTGGATCCCTGGCTGGAGGCGAATGCAGTAGCAGTAAGCAGATGAACGATGAACAGCAACAACTCTTACTTCTTCACTCCATTTCTGCAAAATGGGAAACCGTATGATGTCAGCAACCAAAGAGTCACCTAGCAGTAGCTCGATCTCAGTTCTCGACTCCTCCACAGCTCAACTTCCTCATGTACCTCATCCATCAATGATGCCACTTCTCTCTGGCAACAATGGCTTCACAGCAACAGCTTCTCCGGCGAAATCCCTCCCGGAATCACCAGATTGGCAAGCCTCCTTACCCTCAATCTCCTCACAGGCTATACGGGGGAATGGAAAGGCAGCTGCTGCAAGTCTGCAACAGCTTGGAAGAATGATGAACTCCCGGTAATTGCCACGATAGCGAGCATGGCTACGTTTTTAGCAAGCTCAAGAATGGAGCTAAAAGCTCAAACTCGTATCAACGGCATTGATCTCCCACCATCTGATGATGATGTTGACAACGTACGAGTATGCCCTGGGCGAAGAGGGAAACCGATCTGTCGTTAAGAGATCCAAATCAGCAGCCTGAAAAACCTCAGACTGGAAGCCCCGCATTGGAATCTCTTCTCTTGCATGCACTAGCAATCATATGCAAGATTGTCGCTCCTGGTCAGGTAATACCTGAACGGGATAGATCAGGACGAGCAGGTAAACCAAAATTATGCTAATGAGTTCCCAAACAGACCAAGATGGAGTAGGAACGGTTGCTTTGGAAGATTCAGAGATCCACAACGGGCCAGAGAGATGAGATAAAGCAAATAACGTTCTCAAAAGCATATGGATGCATGCTGTCTTTACAGCAAAGGATCCATTTAGAATCTGAATACGAGAATATAAAGCAAATGGGAAGCTACTGCGACAAAGAGAAATGGAGAGACTATCTTATTGTGAAAAGTGCTTTCAGTAGTAAATTCATGGCTGAACAAGGCCTCTAGCATCCATTACATCACTAAAAGGTAAAACCCCCCATTAAAGGGTACCGTACCTCAGTATAATGACTACTGCTCAAGGTGACAATTTAAGTTAATCCCTGCTAGACAATCTAAACGGTTGCAGGTGCAGAGAGCCATATTATGGCAAATATTGAATAAATGGGGTAATAAAATGAGATAAAGCTATACCTCAAAAGTATTATCTACTGTTCCAGTATTTAGGAACATATTCCATATGCCTGGAGCTGCTCAGATCAACAAAGCTTTCCAGAATGAGCCAGGCATTGGAGACGCGCACTCTCTCGGTTGCCATGTGTCTTATGGAACTTCAGCTGATGGGGGAAAACTTGGGCAGCAGCATTCAGAGGAGCCACAACGTGAGAGAGGACTATATGACATCATTTCACGCCTGTAAGGACCTCCATCCCTTATGTACAGAGAAAGGGGTTGATCATCTGGAATTTGAGAGGACAACCAAACAAACCAACACAAGTGACCACACGACAATCACACAATTGCAGAGGCAGCACGATGCAGAGCCGGTACGCCATTATCGAATTTGTCGCTGACCCTCCTATTAACTTTAAAGCTTCCATACCTCCCAGGTTTAGGCAGAAACAATGAGCTAAGCATTTGCTCCAAAGACTGGACCGAGTATTTTGCATACTTACTGGAGGAATTTCCTTCCTGCTCAACTAAAGGCCCATAGTTCTGCATATAGCTTCTGTAAACAGGCACAACAGACTGCACAATCAGCTGGCTTGTCTTCTCTCTCAGGTCTCTGTCTGGCACAACCCAGTTCGACTGCTTGTTATACATCTCATCAAAAGCTTCATTGAAAGTCTTTAGCCTTTTCTTGACAAGGTCCCGGGCAGTGGCACGCCCACCTGAGAAGAGAATCAAACCTTCCCGGCTCAAATGACTAGGAAGCTTACCCCAACTGTCTCTCAAGAAGATTGCAGCATAGTAGTCCTTGTACTGTTCGTGTTCTCTCAACCAAGAATCTCCCAGTATTTCCCCTAGTTTTGTCCCCTTCAAATGCTTGTACAAGTGGTAATGGTTATTCATGGCGAAAAAATTGGATAGGGTATTGTCTTCATAAGATTTCATCCACGTTTCCAAATTGAGCTCGATGGCCTTAATTATGCTCAACATTTCCTTAACAAGAAGCTTATCCTGGAACTTCTCGTGCTTCCAACTTCGGTGAATATGCAGAACATGCGTCAGTATAGGCTTGTAGTCATCCCCAAGAAGCTTGTTACAGTACTCGGTCACAAAGGTCACTGGTCTGGGAACACCTCCATCAGCTGGAGGTGGAATCTTCCTTTGTAATTCCACCTGAACCAGAAGCTCCCAGAAAATCTCAGCCGCTCCATCAATAACGCTCTTTATGAGATCCCTCGTTAGATTTTGGATCTCAGCACAAGCTGCCCCACCAAAGAGCCGATTGAAATCCAATCTTAATTTGTTAAGAGATGCAAATATGTCCAGTAACTTAAGAAGCTTGATAGGATCATTTTTACTCTCTGTAACAGTCTTCCCAAATTGTAGAAATGCTAGAATGCCAGCCTGAGCAGCTATTTTAGCAAAGCAACCCATCCACACATCCAATCCTATCCTCTCGAAGACATCATTACAAAGCTTGTACTCTGCTTCAAACAAATGCTTGACAGCAAACTCTAAATGCTTGCCCCACTGGGCAATATAACCCTCAATGCTCTGTACATCATTGAACTCAGCGATCGAAATTTCAAGGTAGTCCAAATTGAGCGCCTGCAAGCTAGACCTAACATTTGAACTACGGACATCAACATATATCGAAATGCATTTCTCAAGTCTGTTATTTGCAATAAGCCTGCCAAGAATGGCCTGCAACTTCTGAATTACCGCCACAGGCAATTGTGAGGGTGCAATGGCCGCCGCCTGTTCGTCAGCAGATGAAGATGACATTTCTAGTGGCACACTGTGTTCCGCCAACAGCCGCCTGAACTCTCCTTCCAACTTATCCAATGCAGCATCCAGCAGCCCGCCATCAAGACGGGACCTTTCATCATCGTTCTGCAGTTCCCTTAGACACTTCTTCAAATTCGACAGGTACTTCTCATCCGCAACCGAATTATCCTCCAAATACTCCACTATATCCTCCAACCACTGAATTGCCAATCCACAATTCTCCCCGAGAAACTTCAATGCCTCCTCCAGGCGCTTGAGCACAGACAAATAACCAGGGAGATCATTCCGAGGATCCGAAAGCAGCGATTTTTCAAGCCCGTGAACCGCATCAAACACCTTGAGCACCGCAGCAGCAGGACCCACAGCACGGTTAATGTGACCTCCAACTGCAACAAGGGCGTCTTTGTCTGCACGAATGGGGCGCACCGAAGCTTCCAGAGAAGGCAGCCGTTGATTAATCTCGTCCAGTCTAGGCCCAGCTTTACCTAGGGCAAGCCCCAGCGATTTGGACTTCTCCAAGCTCAGCTTCAGTGACTTCCTCGCAGCTATCAGATTCTGAATCTTATCATTGGAAGCGCCTTTACCGGATTCCGCCATTCCGGTCCCCAAATCTACAGCTCAAAAAACCCCTCAAAAACTTCCCCAATCCAGGAGCTGATCGGAAAGAAAGTAACCAACTTTGGAGCTTCCAATCTGAGGAAACTTGTGCTGGAACAAGGAAGGAAGCTAGGAAACGAGCTTGGCAGCTGGATTAACACGTTGTCGGATCAACCAGGAGTTGTACTTGAGCAAATCTTCATGATTTTTCTTGTTCCTTCCTTCCTTCCTTCCTTCCTTTATCCTACCCAATAATTTCCATCAAACTCACACCAGAACTGACAGAGCAATCTCAAATCGGAAAGCACACACAAAAAGGAAACCCACAAACCAGGGGAGAGTAAAAAGTTTGGTGGAAAAGTAGATGGGATACGCGAGAGGAAAAAGGGAGCAATAATGGGAATTGGGTTAATCAAGCGTCTTGACTGAGTCGGTGAGCGAGAGCAAGCTGGCTTGAAGACAAAAGCTTCAGAACCCAGATGAAGCAGGGGGGAGAAGAGAATTGAGCGAGCTGTGTGGGGAAGTGAAGAGGGTGGGAGTGAAACCCTAGACCAAAATACCCGATTGAGATTGATTGATTTTGCAGAGAGAATGAGAGGGAGAGAGCGTCTATGGTGTCGAGGGAGGAATATTGTTAAAGGAAATTAGTAAAGTTTTGTAGCTTTTGCAGTGTTGATGGATGCACGACAACAGTAATGTAATGCTGAAAATGCTTGACAGTTGGGCTCTCTGTTTCCGGAACTCCCAACCAAAGTCCCCACCACACAGGTGAATTAGCCAAAGTGTCACCTCACACCTGAATGAATGTGAACTTTATAACAAACAAATGACCTATTAGTATTAGCCGTTTAGTTTTGTTAAACAATTTATGTTCCTTAAATGTGCTCGGATTTCAATGGGTGAAAATCAATTAGGTGTCGTTTGGATTGAGTATTTGGGGTCAAATAACACAAAAATCTGTTATATGACCCAAATAACATGTTTGGTTCGCAAAAAGTGGGATGCGTTATTTGAATGTAGTGTTTTACCAAATAACAGATTTGAGACCAAATAACATAAAAAGTGTTGTTTGTCAAATACTTGGGAGGGGCAGGTATTTGCCAATTAACAAGTTTGAGACCAAATATCACATACCAAATAACAGGTTTTAATTATGTGGTATTTGTGTGGTAATTGGCCCCAAACAACAAGTTTGTCAAATACTCAATCCAAATGATACATGTATTGTACACAATGTATCGTTTTTTTGAATTTTTTGCACAAAGAATACATGCATTGTTTGCTTGATTTGACACAAACTATCACTCAAAATGAGTGATAGTTAAATCTCAAGTTTTGGTTGAGATTGTTTGGGTTTTGTTTTGTTCCAACTATGTCCCTATTTTTTTTATGTGTGTTGCTTTTTTAATATTAAAAACAAAGGGTAAAAGTGACATTTCATCGAAAAAGTAATATAACTTATTTCAATATTTGAATAACTATCATAGAAACCAAACAATGTAAACTACAATACACCAATTTTCTTATATACGTGTATATTATTATGCATGCATTGATAACAATGTATCAATTTAACTATCACCAAAACCAAACGACCCTAGAGTTTGATTTTTCGAACAAAATTCAGTTGATTTTGATGATTGTTTGGTTGGGATAGTTACAATGCATGCATCCACAATGTATTGTTTGTTTGATTTGACACAAACTATTACTCAAAATGAGTGATAGTTAAATCTCAAGTTTTTTGTGGGATTGTTGAGTTTTTTTCTTCCAAATATGCTCCTACATTTTTATGTGTGGTGCTTTCTCATATAAAAAATAAAAGATAAAAGTAACATTTCACCCGAAAAGTAATATAACATATTTAAATACTATAATAACTAACACATAAATCAAACGATGTAAATTACAATACATCAATCTTCTTATATACATATATATTATTATACATGCATGATGACAATGCATCAATTTAACTATCACCAAAACCAAAAGAAATGATAGTTCACATGTTCACGACTGATTATTCTTATTAGGGGTGGGTAACAATCTTACCTATACCATACATAATTGTACGGAATCGAAATTTGGATCAAATCGAATGGATTCGAATATATTTTGATTCGATTTCGAACCTACAAATTAACTTACATATGGAAAATAGGACCACAATTGAATTTAGACCGAATTGAACCAAACGAATCAAACATGATTCTGATCTGATTCTGATTCCTCGATTATATCTAATTCTAGACTGAATCGACCGATGCTTACCCTTAATTATATGAAAAAATGTTTTCATGAAGAGTTGTAAGATTAGATTCTCTACTCTACAACTTAACTGTAGTCTTAATTTTAAGTATTCATAAGTGAATTTGTCCTTTTAACACAAAAAATAATAATTTGAACGTTGTTGTATGTTAATATACCTTCATTTCGTAGATCTGCATTGCTACTGGGGTTTTCTGCTACAAACATCGGGGAGGCTTAGCCTCCGATATCAAGAGTGTCGCTGGGAACGCTCAAATAGCGCCACTAGAAATCGAACTTAGGACCTCCCACATCCAGAGCTCAATTGGTCCAGTGGTCTCACCAGGCCATGTTAACTTTGGCAAAGTTCTCTTGAAGTATTCCATAATATGAAGGAATGAAACCCTATTGCCTAGTTCTTAGTTGTTAGAATGGTGGGCGGGATTCAAAAGGAAGGGGAATCTCTTTGGTATATAACCTGATGAGGTTGCTTTGCTGCTTCACCTGAAGTTGGGATTCCTGGTTTGAATTGGCAGTCACCGGTGTCAGTGGCGGATTCAGAAAATTTTCATAGGGGTGTCCTCTTCAAAAATTAAATTTAATTATATAATAAATTAAATAATTCGTATATTAAAAATATCATACTTGTATAATTTGTATAAATTTTTTATTAAATAATAAATTAAAATTCATATTTTGAAAAAATAATATAAATAAACTCCGTGTCTGCATTGTTCAAAAAAAATCTACATATCCTACTAGACAATACTTCACGAACTTACACATATTCGATTTCTAACATTGTTCTTAATGTAGCTCAAAGTAGAAAAGACTCTTTCAACACTTGCCGTGTAACCATAAAATCAATTCAAAGTTAAGGATAGTGTGTACTTAGTTTAATTATTAGGTATTGAAAATAGTTGGGGATAAAGAAATAGCGTTTTTTAGTTGCATGATGTTTAAAATAGAATAACAAATGAGTAGCAACATAATTAGAATATGTTTGATAATAGTAGTGTCCTAGGTTGGAATAACACGGACTACCACTTATATTTTGTTAATCATAAGCAAACTATTATCGAGGGTAGGATAATCATCTTTTCAAATGTTAGGATGTCCCGGATTACCAATTATATATTGTATACCCATACGAAACTACTACCGGAGGTTGGATAATCGTTTCCCCAAATTTTAGGGGTGTCCCGGGACACCCGTAGAGGTCCATGTATCCGCCCCTGACCGGTGTTACAGAACATGTAATGGCGGTTCGGGTTGGGTTGGTTACTTGGTTTCGGAGATGTTTAGTTGGTTATGGTGTATGTCGTGAGTTGATTGAGCTAGTGTTTATTGTTTCATCGAATACAGGACGGTTTTGGTCATGGGCCGGTTGGAATCGGGGTGAGATTCTGTGCATACAATTGCCAGAAGACATGTAGGTTCAATGGTGCAACCAACACAAGCAATTTGACTCGGTTTCCTGCAAAACCATGATCAACCCAACTAGTCTATTTCACTTATCTTCAGTTTAAACCATAACGAGGCGAAAGGGAAAATGACCCACAACCAACACCCAACCCAATTAAAATCCTGACGGTTTCTGGTTTACTATCAATTTCACATTCTGGACATATCTCCATCTTTTGTCATCTTCCGTTTCATTTCCAAACTACCTTCCTAACCAAACATTAAAAATCTTAGCTCTGTACTCACGTTGACTCAAACACCAGTCCTACTCCGCCTTGAGAAGCAGCTACCACCGCCGGCTGCGCGTGGCGGTGCTCGCCTTCGTAGGTTAGGATCAGCATCGACGGATCGTCGGTTCGCCCTCTCTACGTGCTTCCTCGCCGGACACCCCCGCATCGTGCTGCACTTGTCATATCCCCTTAAACACAAACCAAGAAAACTTTTAACTATAGCTTCATTGACCTTAGAGTACTTGAACTTCACTAGTATATTTTTCAATGTAGTGATATTTGTGACTTAACTTAGGGTTTAGGTAAAGCCCCTATGTTTCCACACCATGTTTTTCTAATCATGTTCATTTCCTTACTATTAACGTCATATGCCACATGAGTCTTTCTCAGACTTAACCAACTTACATAGTTTAGTCTTTCTCTAGACTCACTCAAAATGACATTCAACTAAGTGACAATGAAAGTCTATCTCTGGAATCAACCAAACAACATTCAACATCACTTCTTTCCAATATATCCTCACATTTCAACTATTTCGTCATAGTTGTTGAAAATCCTAAAGCCTTCTATATGATGAATGTTGTTCATATGCATTCATGTATATGATGGACATTATATTTCTTTTGGAAAGAGTATATCAACATCTCTAATAAAATTATTTCAGATTTCTTAAACTAGCTCTTTCATATGAATGTCAAACTCTACCCCTCTCCTCTCTAGTAGAGTGTATGACGAAATTCTACTTGTTATTCCTAATATAAGAATCATAGTTTATGACATTTACATGTATACATATCGCGCGTTGCATCGAGCTAGTCAATCACTGTATTGTTGTGGTTGCTCGTTGAAATTTGATTATCCTTACGATGATATATTTACAATGACAGTTTATTTTAGAAAATGATAATTATTTCTTGAAGATTCTTTTTTTGTATGCATATACATACCCAAACATTTCATGTTCAATTACCGAAAAATCTAGCACAAATAGGAAAGAGAAGTTATAGAGAAAGAAACAAAGGTAATACAAAGTGGAAATCAACTTAAAATTTCATGGCTTCCAATCTCGAGGAAGAAAACGATGACCATTTATTTAATAAGTAAAAAACATATTTTTTTCTAATTGAACCAGACATTTAGCTAGATAGAAAATTTACTGGTTATAGACCCGATGGCGAGTCTATTATGGAACCATATATTAGGATACATATAATTATTATACGAATTAGGGTTGGATGAAGAAAGCAAATGTGAAAATAAAGAAAGGGAGATGGAGGGTGATTGAAGAATGAAACGATGAAGTAGGAAAAAATTATTATGGTATTAATAAGCTTTTCACGTTCTGCCTCCCATAATATTTTTTAATGTTTTAATTTGTTTGGGCAACAACATTATACCACCGAACCATTTAAATCAAAGCCACTCTTGTCATTCAATGTCCAATTGCAAACAACCGGTCGGTCCATAGATGACCGATCCAATCCAAGATCCAGTTTGATCTTGTAAGCGATTCACGATTTTACTAATTGAGTTCGGTTCTAATTAAAAAGTTGAAAAATAACCTATACCTTTTTAATTGAACTTGATATTGAGTTAGAAAAGTTAGTAATTCATAATTCGGTTATTATTTTTTATAGATCTCTTGGTGAGTCGTATTAGTTGTTATAGACCTATTGATGAGTCGTTTATCGAATGGTTCACACTTGTAAATTATTATATGTATAAATATGATACCAATTAGGACTAGATGAAGAAGATATTATGGAAATAAAGAAATGGAGATGGAGGGAAAGTGAAAGGGAAAGGGAAAGGGAAGAATGAAACAAAGAGGAAGTATGGAAAATATTATGGTAATTAATAAGTTTTTCAAGTTGTTCTTCTATAATATATTTTTTCAATTGTTTACTTTATTTGGCAAAAACATTAAACCAGTGAACCATTTAGATTGAAGTGAGTTTTGTTGTTCAATGTCCAATTGCAAACAACCGACAGATCCACATATGACCGAACCAATCAAAGAATCGATTCTATATTTTTATTGGTTCACATTCTACTAATCGAGCTCGTTTCTAATTAAAAGTTCCATTGTTAAATTTTTTAATACGTGATTCTTTTTTCTCTTTTTGTCTGGTTTTGTCATCATCTATGGCTACTTAGTAGCTAGCTTTATCCTTCTTCCCCCCTGTGTGTTGCAGACGGTAATTGTTTAACGAAAATAATAAGGCAAAATATCATAATTTTAGAGAACAGTAACTGTACTTTAGGTTTATATATAGTAATATATATACCACAAATAATTCTTCCAACTAAATATCTCTTCCCTAATCTTCACATGTCGTGCATTGTATATAAGCATAGACACATATTTTCCTACACCGCTTAGTAGCAACTCATTGTTCCATTTTGCAATTGATCCTTCCGCCTAAATCAACTTAATTATTCCCTCCTCATAATCCTCTACTAGAGTTTACATACTATCCTTCTTTCCTTCTACAAAACACTTGACCACTTACAAAAAAAAGAAGAAATCCATACCTTAATTGCTTGATCCATCCATTA